ATAACTGGGTGTCGTCTGCATAACAATGGAAATGTATGCAGTGCTTCCTAATAATGTTGCCTAACGGAAGCATATACAGAGTAAATAATATTGATCCTAACACAGAACCCTGAGGAACTCCATAAGCAACTCTGATACGGCTGGAAGAATCATCATTAACGTGAACAAACTGGAATTTGTCTGATAAATATGATTTAAACCAGTTCAGCGCAGTCCCTTTAAGTCCAATCGCATGTTCCAGTCTCTGTAATAGGATGCTATGATCAACAGTATCAAATGCCGCACTGAGATCCAATAGAACCAGAATGGACACTAGTCCATTGTCTGAAGCTAGAAGAAGATGACAGGATACCACTAGAACTGTTTGCCTGTAGGTAAAAAAAAAACAGTCAAAATAGCTGTCTTTTTTTTTTTTTTTAAATCGTTGTGCTTTGATTGTGACAAAGCAGCCAAGGTCATCCTCTGAGCAGCATCTTTTTCACCAAAATAGTTTCAGGAGCCAAACTGAAGGACCTAACCAGGAGAGTGCATTTGATGCTTTTCTATCTGTGCTGTCAAACATAAAGTAATTAGTGCAATAACAAATTTAAAAAAAAATCTGTACGGTTGTTTGAGACATCATTTTTTACACAAGAAACAGCAACACAGGCTCATCATGTTGTTGTATTGAATGGCTGTACAGAGGTGAGTCCAGAGTGACTGGACCGTAGGCCACTGCTGCTGTCTACACTAGTTGGGTATGTTCTAATGGATGACAATGCAGCATCCACTATTCATGTGTCAATATTATTCTAACCTCGTTCAGGTTACTGTTCATATTTCTTTTATGCCATTCATTTATAGACAGTGTTGTCATTTCTGCGCTGAGATGTTATTAATAGGAGATACTCACTTATGGATGTCATGACCATGTTTTATGATAAAACATCAATTTACTTTTTTCTTTTTTAGCATGAACACAACTGTCACCAGATCGGTGTGTATTATTTTAAATTTAATGGGAAAAAACAGAGCTTGAAGGTGGAGGGGAAAATGTAAATGAACAGTATAACCAAAATCAAAGGCAGAAAGATTGGTGGATTTAGCAACAGTGTGACTAGCAGATGGAAAACATTTGGATTTGTTTGTGTACAGAAGTCCAATTTATATATTCAGTTTGATAATGTTCAACATGGGTCTTAAAAGTTTGACTTTTTTCTACCCAAATACTTTTAAGCATTCAGCAGTTTCCCTTATGGGGTTGGATATGAGCTGCTCTACAAGAGTCTCCTCTGTGTTCTTAAAAATAAAATACATGGTATTTTTTTCCAACAAGCCTTGTTGAAAGAGTGGGATATCAAACAGACAGAAGGTTTGCAGTGGTGACAAAAAGTGAAAGAAAAAGAAAATTGAAATTATGTCATCTGCATAAACTAGTACTTCCAATGCATACAGGTAGAGATTATATTATTCATGCATACAGTGTAGCAGCTCCTGTCTATCTGGTACATTAACATGCATCCTGAACAATTCTTTTCATTTGTGTGTCATCAGCCAACACGTCTGAATGTGATTAAGAATGACAATGAGAGCTGGGACTACACTAAACCATACCTGGTCAGACGAGGTAAGACATAAACTGTCTCTCTTTTTCTTTATTTCATACTTACCCTAATGTCAGGCTAGGACAACTGCACTGTGTGGGATAACCCTCCATTTTGCAGCACTGGGCACTGTGGTACTGTTTGAGTCAGGTATTTCTGTGGGGGGCATATTTCCCTCAAATGCAGCCCTCCTTGATTGATGTTATATAGATAGATAAAAATGGTCTCAGTATTTACAATCACTGGTGAAAGTGCGTCCAGATCTTCACTGATGGGTCAATCTCTGACTGTGGATTAAGAGTGTAGTCATTAACAGTTTGGACCGTAGACGTCCATCACAAGACTCGTACGCATACCGTCTCTCCATCTCCAACCTAAGCACTCACACCAGCTGGTCAGTGGCCTCTCACAAGCTTGCACCTCCACCTACTGTGTAGGGGGAAGGAGGGGGGAGTGACACATTAAGGGAGACAGAGAGAACAGAGAAAAAGGGATGGACGTCAGGCTGACCATGCACAGCAACATTCCTCCATCTTCACCTTCGCAACCCAGCAAAAAGAAAGAAAGAGGGAGAAAATGAGATGGATCTCATTCCTGCTGACCACCATGCAGCTGCTGCTTCAACATGCCCAGGAAGCCTGAGCCCAACCTCTCTCTGCAGGACTCCAGTAGCACTTCCTCCTATCTATCTACGCCACGCTGTGTTTTTATCTCCTGTGTCTGCAGATGTAGTCTTGCATGACCTCTAAATTTAACTGCAGTGTTTCTTTAATGACAATCATGCAAGTCCAAGTGAAAGTTAAAATTACTGTATAATCTAGACTCTTTTTTTAAAAAATTTGTTTTTACTGCAAATTTTGATTAAGAAACATTAATGGGTAAAAGCTCAACATTGTGGATAGGTCAAAAACTCTGGCTGTATTAATGTACAGTTTAAATGTCAAAATTGTGTTCTCTGTCACGTTACACTTTCTGAGTTAGGGCTGTCACAATAGCAGATTTTTAACTCCACACCATAACATATTACCTATTTGTATTAGAAAGTCATTAAATAGTTCAATAAAATTTGTACTAAACATTTAACTGAGCATTTCATTGTAAAATTCAAAATGACATCTTATTCTGTGCAAAATGCAGGACAAGATGCAGAAATCCACAAAAAAAAGACAGACAAGTACAGTTAATAGAGAGACGAAAGCTAAATGAAATAGTACATTAACTTGGAAGACAGAATGTGGAGGCAGCGTATGGAGGCAGATGTCAACCTCCTTACACAGAATGTGTTTGCTTGTATGTGTGTAAGCAGCCCAGTTCAGAGAAAAAAAAATGTAGCTTTGTTCTTCAGTAACAATAAGGTGGTGTTAATGTTAAGGCAGGCCTCATGTTTATGTTCTAGCATGCCTAGCACCTTAGACATAAAACATGTTACAGTAGGTTAAACAATAGAAGACAACAAGAGTGTCAGCCAGTTCATAAAATTACATGAATAATGTCTCACCGTACTACATTATAAGATCTGACCTGTATTATTAACAGACCTGTTGTTTTATCACCTTGATAACGAATAGGAGGCTGTTCAGCTAAATTAATGGAATAAAAATGATTGGAATGCAGCAATGCTTTCTGACGATTACATAACACATTCAAGCAGATTTGAAAAATGAGACCTATTTACTGTTTGACATTGTGTAAAAAACAGTATATTGTGACAGCCCTAATCTGAAATCCCTGATGACAGTGGCTGTACATTCAGACACGTACATGGATGTTCCTTTTATATATTGTGAATTGTTTGGGGTTTTTGTCTTTTTTTTATTTTTATTTTTTATAAATATTGATTGAAATGTATCAGTGACTCTTAAATCAAGCTGAACAATGGTTGTTTTGTTATACAACTTGAGAAATAACAGTTTGTGTTATCTACAAACAGTCTGGTGTACAGCGACCTACAACAAATGCTGCATTCTTTGTACTGTATGTCATGTGTAGGTTAGAATTCTTTCTGAATAGTCTTGAATGTTTGATGAGATTGATGTTGGGGTCAGTTCATTCTTAATTCAGTCTATTCAAGAAATGAAAAATATGAAAAAGCTTCTTATCCAAACTATTTCAAACTGGTATTAAATGACAAAAACCCTGTTTGTTTGGGTTTTTTTCTTTGTTTTAGTTTGTTTTGTTTTGTTTTTTTGTACCAGTAGCAGAGCCACCAAGGCTGGTGATGATGCTCAGGACATTGGTCCAGAGCCTGATATCTGTAACAGCTATTCCCCAGATCGTCATGGCATTTTCTATGGATAGTCACGATCCATAGAGCAGCATTTATTCCAGTTCTCTTTCAAATATTAATTTTGGTGTCTCACTATGGGGAATGTTCTCTTAGCGTTATCCTCAGAAGCCTTTATATCATTACTCCAGCTTGTACTGACTGGCTACCGTGACGCTTCGTCAAGGCCGAGCCATGCTCCTTCCCTATTAAAGGGCTTGACACAGTCACCCACCATTCACTTTACTCTTCTCGCTTTACTCAGAAATCTTTCTCTCCTGACTGCCAGTACTAGTGCCTAGCTTACCAGTCTAATGGAGCAAGCTACCACCTTTGTCACTGGATGCTATCACAGCTTGTGCTTGTCAGTTGCTGCTGTCAGGTTGGAGAGCTTGCTATTTGCCTCTATGCCCCTTGCACAGCAAATATCTGCCCAAGCTAACAGCCCCTGCTACCCATGGTCACCAAACCCAGTAACACAAGCACCAGTCACCATATTACTTAGGTCACTAGGACCCTGACTGAATAGCCAGAGCTATATCGTCTGACCAAACTAGCTACACCAGGCTAAGTTTGAAATGGCAGATACGATGGCCGACGGAGGCAAATGACGTGCATATACATAAATGTGTTGCATAAACAGAAACATGCGCTGCATAAATGAAAACAAATGCAAAAAGAAAACGGTGCATATCCAGTCACACAACAGAAGTGCCACAGGCCTCTAGGGGGCAGTAGTGAGCTTTTCACCTGAGAGGCAGACAACAGTGAGCGAGACAAGTACCAATAGTTGAGGGAAAAGCTGCACCAAAACTCATGTATTTTCTCGTCTCCATGGATAAACATAAATAACAGAGAGAACACAGAGAGACGATAGTAAAAGACCACTTCAGCACCCATATAATCACAGTGACTAAAAATTAAAGACTTAAAAACCTGCCCCTAGAGGCCTCTGGCACTTCCATTGTGTGACTGGATATGCAGCATTTTCCTTTTGCAGCACATTTCTGTTTGTGCAACGCAGTCATGTATATGCAGCTCGTTTGTGTATATGCACGTCATTTGCCCCCGTCAGCCACCGTAGGCAGACAGCAAACCGCCACCCAGAATGGGTCCCTGTGGTTGCAGAATTTCAAGATAGGACACATGAGGTTTGTATGATGTGCCTTGGGCTGCAACACACCTTCATGTCCAAAGATCAGTCAGTGGTGTGTGTTCCGTTAGAGCTGGTGGCATTTCATCCCCCTCCCTCTTTCTCCCCTGAGCATGAGCACATACATGCTCTCTGCTAATATTGAAAAAAACAAAATCATGTAGGAGGTCTGATCAGCTGTTTGTTTCATGGGCTAAATCCCACATGGGCAAGCCCATTAATAAACAAGCGTATCCCATTGGATTGTAGAGATGATTGAGATGACCTACACCAGCAAAGAACTGAAACCCCCTGAAGGGCCTTGTGCCAGTTTGGCCAGCGGTACGGCAACCTCCTGGCCCATACCTAAATTGGCGACAATAGAAGCAATATGTGCAGCAGCAAGCTGGACTTTACCTTTGACCTTTGCAAGGTTCTATAGGTTTGATGTCACTTTACATGACTAGCTCATACTTTCCCAAGTGTGGGCCTGCATGGGACCTCCTAGGTTAACAGTCAGTCATTGAGATGAGCTTATCTGGCAATACAGGAGTCTGTATATCCCCATAGTGAGAAACCCAAATGAATGTTTGAAAGCAAACTCATAACCCTGGCTGTCTGAGAACATGAGTGAGGTGTCTCCCCAGATCACCCTCCTTCCGTAAAGCAAGGAAGAGGTGAGCTTAGCCTGAATGCTGGGTGATGCCATGTCAATCCCTTTTACACGGAGAAAGTGTGGATCCATCCTGAAAGAAGCATCACAACTGCCAGCCAGTACTGGCTAGAGTGATGATATTGAGGCTTCAGAGTGTAACGCTGAGAGAGCGTTCCCCACAATGAGATGCTTCACTCATGCTGTCAGACAATGTGGGTTATGAGATAAGTAACCTTAACTTTTACTGAGCCCTTGACCTTCCCCTGAGTGCCATGTAAAGGTCATATCCTTCTATTGTACACTGTTACTGTTAGTATTCAATGAGCAGATTATCGTTAAATTTGTGGTCATGTTTATGGTTTAATACTATAAAACCTTCTCATTTCAATGACTACATGACATTTTCTTTAGTGCCACTCTGGACAAATATTACATAATCAAACATTGGCTTTTGTGGGGTATACATTACAATGAATATAGGAGAATTGTTTAAAAATGATTAATTAAATAATTTTTCGCTAGTGAACTGGTCCCAACTCTGATATAGAATACATATTTACAAAATAAATGCATATCCTCAGTAATTCGTGTTTGCATGGAGGTACATTACAATGGCACAGAGACAAGTCAAAATGAGAAATGTCTTGAGTGACATAGTGACAGATTAAATGGAGGAAAGGCAGAAGTGGGGATTCAATACAGCAGTCACTCTTTTTGAAAAGTATTAACCACATAAATGATATTTGATATATCTTCTTCAGATGAGACCCACTGAGGGATATTTACCCAAAGCCAAAGTTATGCTTCATACAGGTTTTAACAAGAGTCCTACATATTCATAGCTAAGCATCAGATTTTACCTACTACAGATATGAAAAAAAAAAACATCAGAGGGTGTAGAATTAGAAATAAGAGTTCTCATAAGATGTCTGCAGCCCATTTCTCCTTTCTGCTGCAAGCTATAGGTTCCAGGATATGTTCTGTTAATAATACCACACACCCTGGTTTCTGACTGTACAGTCAAGTTGCATTGTGGGTAACGTAGGTACCAGGTCTTGCCAAGGAAGACCAATGTATGGAAATAAAAAGTTGATATTTCTGGTTCTGCTGCATCATCAATTTAGATCCTTTTTTGTGTACATTGTGAGTCAAGCATTTTTTTTAATGCAACGCTTAGTATTCTTTCTATTTCCCACAGTAGCTGATAAATAGAAATAAAATAGAAACCTGGACTCATTACTGAATTGGAGGCTGCCGCAGTGCAGACGCTGTGTTTCTGTTCTTACATTGTCCATGACAGAAAGCAGTGATAACACACAGCTGAAGATGTGTTAGTTAAGAAGCTGCTATCATAATTTCTGCTTGCTTTATAAATATTCACCAAAACTTACAGGAAGAGGCACAAGTCTGTTTTCACTATCTGTACTGTTCTGCTTCTCTTTTGCTTGACCTGAACAAAACCTGGTGCTGCTCTTTTATAAATAAAAACAAACAAAAAATGGTGGATCTGTGCCTGCAGATTCATGGTGAAGTTTGTGGCCTCAAGAACTCTTTGCGTCTCGAGTAGCATTTGAATGTCTCTGTCCTTTAAAATCACTAATTATGATGCACCAGAAACCAGTAGGTGTGTTTTTAAATTCTATCGAACTGTAACCTTTCAAGAATTGCAGCACATTAAATTTTAAGGCAGTGACCATGGCCTTAATAAAGACTCTATTGAGGCCCATTAATTACTGAGTGTCAACATCCTCCAGCATACTTCTTCCTTCACTTCCCTTTCTCTTTGATAATACATGTATCTTTTTTCTTTTCTTTCCTTTAATCTGCATCCCTTCTTCTCACCTTCCCTTTCTCCCGCCTCTTTCTCTTCACATTAACCATACATTAGCCACCTTTTTGTGCTAGTGTACATGTTTGTGTTTGAGGAATAACGTGGCTCATGTTGCTTCAGATCAGCACAAGGTCACAACCAAGACAGAAAAGAAAATTTATGGCAAAATATTTGGTCACCAGAGCTATACATGGGCCATTGTTGGTGTCAGACCACCATTTTTGTGGTGACTATCACAGATTTAACCACGTTTTTCTCATGACATCTTACATGTCAGACAGCCCAAAATCACACATTGTAAAGGAGTTTTAACAAAGCAATGATGAGGGTGACCCTCTGGCAAAGATGGACATTGTGTGTGTCGTCAGACACCTACTGTACTTGTTACTGAAAACTGATTTAGTCTTCAACAAAGATGTCAACTCCCTTCAGACAGCATAGTACACCGCAAATAATCTCATTAATTTGTTAAGCGCTGTGTGATAACATGTTGTAAACTGCGCTATACAAATAAAATTGAATTGAATTGAAGTGAATTGTATAAATATGGAATCAGTGTCGAACAGCTTACCAGTTAGCGTGGGTTCTCTCCAGGTTCTCCAGTTTCCTCCCACACAGTCCAAAAACATGTTGAGGTAAACTGATGATTCTAAATTGTCCGTAGGTGTGAATGTGAGTGTGCTTGCTTGTCTGTCCCTGCGATAGACTGGTGACCTGTCCAGGGTGTCCCCTGCCTTCACTCTTAAGTCAACTGGGATAGGCTGCAGCCCCCCGTGACCCTCGTGAGGATTAAGCAGTGTATAGATAATGGATGGATGGAAATGCTGCTACTGACTACAGCTAATAATCATCAGAATATAAAGGACTCCACAGAGACTTGGCCATGATAGTGTTGCTAAGAATCAGTCATTAATGATGGCTTAAGTGAACTTTATCCATCAACAGCAGTGGTAGTTAAATTATATTCTGACTTCCTCTTGCAAGACCTTACAGTTCCAAGCATGTTTCTATCCTGCCTATGTCAGGGCCTGGTTCTGGTAGAAATAGTAACACACTCTTGTATTGAGTTATTTGTGTTAGATCGATCATTGGCAAGCTGATCTAACGCAAATACAAGTTCTTATTTGCACATTTAATATTCCTAAAAATCTGTCACTCAAGAACTTGATTCCTCTTAATCAGGGAGGAGCAGTCTCATGGTCTATATTTTCAAATCAGTAATGTTGTTCAGAACCAGCTCCAAAAGTCTTTTGTCTGGTTTCCCTTCCCTTTTTTTTTTTTTTTTTTAGGGATGTGGACATCATCATTTCTTTTCCATCCTGCTACACTCAACATTCTCCAAACACTAAGGTGTGTACTGAAATTTGGAATAATCCGTTAAATCTGGAGTTTCCGTCTGCACACTGAATGTAGTCAGTTATGTCAAGCTCACTCGACCAAAACATGCAAGTCTCTTTATACATTATTATGATATAATTTGTCTCCAGTGGTCTTTCTGTCTTTCTTTCAAATATCTCTGGGCCTCATTAAACAAATAAAAGTCAGTGTCATTTCAGTGTACCTCCAATGTAACATAGCCTTTATGTAATGAATACTCTGCAGTATGTAATGCTTTGCTGGACAGTGACAGTGATTAAATGTGTTTGACAGCCACAGCAATGATGGTGATGTGTTTATCATTATGATGACAATGAAATGCAGGTTGATGTTCTTTCGTGCTGAGGGAGAAAAAAGAAAGCTTGATGCCTCACAGGTACTGTGTCTTTCAAATCTCTGTTCACCTGAAAATCTTTGTATTACTATACTACCTATTTCTGAATAAAACCACCTTAAAGCTGTTTATTATTATTTACTCACCTCCATTTTTATGTGACATGTCTCGCAGGTTTATATTTTTGGGTGTAGAATCATTATTCATGATTGTAAGTTAAAGAAATGAATGTATTTTAAAACAGCTCACACTTTAGCCCTAAAAAGTGGAAGGACTATATAGTGTCTGTAAATCACCAGCTCCTTTACCTGATGTCATAACCTCACACTTCTTTGGAGCAGGGCACTTTTATTTGAACATTTGTTTACATAATTCTAATCTCTGGATTACAGCACAGAGGAGAGTGTGTATATCTTGTGGTATTATGTGCATGGAATGAGTTATTCCATATTGGCAGCTCTATTCAGGACACAACAAAAATTCCAAAGAAAGCCAAGCAAAGTGCAAAATTCAAGTTATTGTGTCTCAGATCTCAGCTATTAGCAACATATGTGGTGGCCACTGGGCACTGGCAGGATTTTTCCTTGGTCTGTTTCATGTAGAGAATCGCGAGGCACAGCAAGAGGAAGAGAATGTCCAGTGAAGTGGACTTGGAACTGTATTTGTACTTTTTGCCAGTGATGTGTTTCTTTCAGTTTCACTGATGTGTGACCTCCACATACCGAAGTTCACACATACTCCACATGCTGTTGCTCAGTGCTTGCTTAAACACTTTGGATTTGTTAGATTTCTCTGGACAACTTTAAAGTTTTCAAATTACTATGTGAAATACCTTGAGATGACATATATTGTGAATTGGTGCGATACAAATAGTACTGAATTTACCTGAATTGAAAACAATTTGCTGCTAAGTGTGAGGCCGAAACACCTCCAACTTCACCATAGTGGTTATACTTTAGATTATATAGGGGACTGCTCTATGTTAAACAAACCATGCCAGGAGGCCTGCTCACAAGGGATGGTAAGATGGAACATAAGTTTAAGAAGTGCATTAGTAAATGGTACAATGGTCTGCATTTATATAGTGCCTTACCTTAGCTAAGTTCTACAATGCGGTTACACATACACACCAATGGCAGCAGTGCTGCCATGCAAGGTGCTTGCTTTCCATTGATGGTACCTTGGAGATTATTGTCTTTCCACTTCAGCATGTGGACGGGCCAGGGGTCGAGCTGCCAGTGTGAGTGTTGTATCACGTTGTTGTAGTGAAAAGAGAACTGAACCTGATGGAAAAGGCTGTATGACTGTGTGTTTTGGGTGGTGAACAAATGAATGGCACAGTGGATACAAGTGGAGGAATTCAGTTTCCTTTGTGAGGTGGGTGGGCTGGGTTCAGCATTACAGATAAGATGATGAGCTCTGACATCAGGAGGAGCTTCAACTTTCTCGTTGGCTTTAAAAGGATCTACTTGAAGTGTTTAGGGCTTATGATTAGGATGTTTCCTGGAAGCCTCACACATGATGAGATCCCCCAGAAGGAGCTACAGTATATAGTGGGGGAGAAGGGCATAGTATTGTATGGATTACATTGCTTCTACTGTTGACAAGACTGCATATAAAAAGGGATTGCTAAATGGATAGAAATGATTGACAAATAAAAGAGATAAATAAGATTTACTTTTCCTTCAAGGTTCTCTACTTCTGCATTTTGCTCAGGAAAAAAGCACATGCTGTTAGATCCCTCCTGACTAACAGTGCACTTTTGACTATGGATGCATTCAAACACTTGAAAGTTTTCACAATACTCTGATTACAGTTAGCAAGTCCATTGGTATACCTGTTCCAATAATTTAGAGCCTCACAAATGACCAACGGTGCCCTTCACATTAGACTACAACATTGCAGTTTTAAGAAAACATGAAACATGATCTTGTGGCATTTTGCGACTGTAATTTAATAATAGTTTTTAACAACTTGGCTCTTATTCCTGTAGTTTTGTGTATAATTTCTATCAACAACATTGTTATTTTATTCACCAAGTTAATTGCTGAGATCTGGGAGCACATCAACCTTGCTAAAGATATATCCAAGGAATCAGAAGGTCAGACAGGTTATGAAGAAACCTTCAGGTTAATCAAACTTATCTGTATGGAAAACAAAAGTAAACAGTAAAAATCTTACCCAAGCTCTATGTTGTAACCACCCTCCCAAAGTTCATTTGTCTGGATGAGGTAGTGTCATGAAGTAAATACCTTTTCCAACTATACTTTGAAGTCATCATCAGTAGTGAATGCAAAGTTTTCTATGCATTGACTTTAGGAAAATTACCATGTGCCCTGCACTCAATTTGTAATGTGTGTGTGTGTTTGTATCTGTGTTTCAGACCGTGGAAAGGGAAGACAGAGACAGGCCATTTTAGGAGAACACCCATCATCCTACAGTGATAATGGCTATGGTAAGTCTAAGACACATTAGAAATAAATGTGTAACTGAATCTCGTGCTTTACACAATGCCGCTACTTCATCTACAGTCCCATACTTAAAGGAGAAACCTGACACTCTCCTGCGCACACACACACCCAAGTTCACCCAGCGTGAGTGTAGATTGTCAGTTGCAGGTGTGATAGTAGGCATACCTTCACCTGCATTTGGAAACTGATACTGAACAATTACTCTGTTTTAATTTTGTTTCACACCACACACGTAAACATACATACGGACAAAATGGGGTGGGGGGACCACAACATGTACACACTAGAGAACACAACAGTCGAGTAATGTACACTGCTCAAAAAAATAAAGGGAACACTAAAATAACACACCCTAGATCTCAATGAATGAAATATTCCAGTTGAAAAACTTTATTCATTACATAGTAGAATGCATTGAGAACAAAATAACATAAAAATGATCAATTTAAATCAAAATTATTATCCCATGGAGGTCTAGATTTGGAATCATACTCAAAATAAAAGTGGAAAATCATATTACAGGCTGATTCAACTTCAGTGGAAATTCCTCAAGACAAGTCAGCATGAGGCTCAGTAGTGTTTGGCCTCCACGTGCCTGTATGACCTCCCTACAACATCTGGGCATGCTCCTGATGAGGCGGCGGATGTTCTCCTGAGGGATCTAGATGGAACGAGACATAAAACTTATGGCCTTATGGATATGTCATTTTGTCTGTAGTGAAAGTACTGTACAGATTACCAACAAAATATGCTTGTTCTATGAAAAGTAAAGCTATTTACGACTAAGAATGATTCAGTGTTCACATTCAGAGTGTTAAATTATTATTATTATAATTAAAGCTGAGATTTTTTTCCTGTGGATCTGTAGAGTTGCAGAGCCTCAGTAATAGCTTTGTATCCCTTCCCATACTGATGTATTTCAGCCACCACCAATCTCATCTGGATTTTATTTTCATTTTAGCGTAGTGTGCTGAAAACGGTCAATGTTTGAACAGGAGGGGGTCAAATTCTTTTTAACGGCACTATACATGAAGGAGAGTAGACTCAAGAGCACTTAAACATGTATGTGACTGTAAGTGCAGGAATAAATCAAAATCTGTAATGGCTTGAGTGTGTTTGTAACATAGATTGAAAACTCAAATTGGGAAACATAGCTTCCAATTCATATATTAAAAAAGTTCATTCTTAAGGTCTGCAATTGGCAGATATATTGCACTGAAGGAATATACTAACTTCCAATCATCTATCCATTATCTATACACTGCTTAATCCTCACTAGGGTCGCAGGGGGCTGGATTCTATCCCAGCTGACTTAGGGTGAAGGCAGGGGACACCCTGGACAGGTCGCCACAGGGCTACACAGAGAGCCAGCCAAGCACAGTCACATTCACACCTACGGACAGTTTAGAATCACCAATTAACCTCAGCATGGAGTGTGTAAGGAAGCCAGATAACCCGGAGAGAACCCATGCTGCACGGAAAGAAAATGCAAACTCCGCGCAGAAAGATCGCGGGCGTCCTAACCGGGACGAACCGGGGATCTTCTAGCTGTGAGGCGACGGTGCTAACCACTGAGCCACGATGCAGCTTGAACACACTTAACTTGAACCACTCATTGTTCTATTAAGAAAGAGGATTGTTTTGGTATGTTTTTGTTGTAAAGTGTACCTGAATTATAGAACGACTGGTGTGAACACTGTGGAGGGACATATTTTGTACACACGCTTGTGCAGGTTATATGTTCATAGAATCATGCACATCATCTGTTTATGTCATTATGATAAAGAGGCAGACAAATGCACACGTTTGCACAAATGTACCACGTGTGGTAGGGGCATTTCAACCAGCACATCAGCAAACAAACAAGGGAAATGATGCATTTAAACTGTCAGTATATAATAGTCCTATAGTGTGACTTTGTTCTAAGAAATGTGACAAAATCCAGTTTGTTTTCTGTTTAAAATGCACTCTGGAGTTCAGCAGGACCTAAATTAGCAACACCAAGCTGACATCTTTTCTGTACAAAATTCCCTCTTTTTGTCTGTATTCTTTGCTACAGACCAGCAATGAATCACAGTGCGGATAAACGTCGTATCAAACATGTCCAGTGTTATGAAACAACACTTTTGTTAAATGATTGCGTTGAAGTCAGCGAGAAATGTGTTTATGCTTTCAGCATGACATGTACATGATTCTAACACTAGATTGTGGCTAGCACAGTGGATGATAAACTGTGTAACCTTTAAAAATGGAAATTACAACCATAAGGTCCTATTTCTTGGTGTGTGCAGAAGAGAATGGTGAATGATGGGCAATGAAGGCAACAAGACAGTTATCAAGACACGGTTACAGTGTTTATACAACACAGGTTAATTTAGGTCTTGAAGGAGGTTCCTTAGGAGGATTTCCTATTTTATTTGTAGTCACCCAGAAAATTTGTATTTATATATATTTGTATAAAAAATATGTTATATTAATTTTTTTTTTAAAGTAAGCTTTTACAATATTGAATTTCCCTTCTGGGATAAATAAAGTATTTTTCATTTTTTATTTTTCATTTCATTTCAAAATAATGCTGCTATTCCAATGACTTGCAGATTGTTCTCATGAGACTGATTGTGAGCTTAGACTCAGACTATGTGTGCCCCCTCAGGTCCACCCTGCCCCCTGCTGCCTCTGCCCAGCAACAGCAGGTACAAGCTCACGTCAGTGGATGTTCCAGACATGGTATCCTATCCTTTGCCCCAGTCATCCTCCTCATACTCTGGCCATGCCCCTAGCTCTGTTGCCATGGTAAGTGGTCTCCATCCATCCAAGATGAACTGCACCCGCATCTTCAACCTCTTCTGCCTCTATGGCAACATTGAGAAGGTAGGTGTGTGTATAATCTTAAATTGGATCTTTAGCTTTTGCTGTTTCATGTCTTTTACAATTTTATAGATTTTTTGATTGCATGAATGTCCTAGTGTATTGTAGAAATTGCACAAAAATAACTCCCACCTTTCTGATTGTACTTTTAATGGCCTAGATGTCCCGATATTATCATTAAAGTAATCCATATGATTAGACTTTTCCATACCACTGGCAGAAGTACTGCAAGCTGTCAAATTAGAACTTGTGCCATTGCCAACACTGTCATTTCGTACAATCTAAATGCATCTCTGATTACATTTATAATCTCTCCTCCTTACTCTTACCCTAACATACTTTGGCAGAGACCATCCTCTCTGAGCCTGGCTGGTTTTTTGTTTATTTTCTGTTGAATGGGAGCTTTTCCCCCACTATTCCCAAGTGCTTGTTCAATGGGAATCCTACAAAACTTTGGATTTGTTTGGTTTCTCTGTAGAAAGTTTGCGACAGGTTTCCTTTACTATTTGAAGTACCTTGAAATTAATTGAACTGGTACTACATAAACAAAATCCCACTGGATAGAATAGAATAACTAAACTTTATTTCTGTATAATGTGCACATTACCACCTCAATACCAATCTTAAATATCCTTATTGTATTAACTTTAGACTAACTTTTGTATGTATTTTTACACAGAACAGGGACTGTGGATTTTGTCTGTATCACTTATGGAAGTCAGGGTTAGAAAAGGGCGCCCTAATGATCACTGAAAAGATATAATTACAGTAAATCAGCTGTTAACTGTGGCTATGTGTCGTTGTAGGTGAAGTTTATGAAAAGTGTTCCTGGTACAGCATTGGTTGAGATGGGGGATGAGTATGCTGTGGATAGAGCCATCACACACCTCAACAGCATCAAGGTGTTTGGCAAAAGACTTAATGTCTGGTAAGCAGTAGATCAAAATACACACAGAGTTCCTCTTTTATAATGTATGCTGTTATGCAGTGGTGAATAAAAATGTACATATATTTGTAAAAACAATGTATACCATTGCAGGCTTGAGTTTGTATTGACTCCTACAACTCAGAATTTTTCGATGCTGGAATCATTGGAACCAATGCATCATTGTCACAAAAAACAATCATGCATTTTGACTCTTTCATAGATTTATTGTAAGTCTTCTGGACATATAGCAAAATCTGTTTGGTCAAAAATATACATACAGCAATGCTAATATTTGGTTAAATGTTCATTGGCCATTTTCCACTGAAGTAGGTGCTTTTGGTTGCCGTCCTTTCGCTTCTGGTTGTACCTTTTACCCCTTCAATTAAATTTGTTGGCTTGTGACAAAGACTTATTTCTTCATCAGTCCACAGGTTCTTGATGGGGTTAAAAGTTAAGGTTAGATCAGTCTAAAAGCTTAATTCTAGCCTGATTTAGCCCGTTTTCCCCCTTTTAAAGTGTGCTTGGCGTCATCGTCTTGGTGGAACATCCAACTGTGTCCAAGATCAACCTTCTGGTTGATTATTTTAGGTTTTCCAGAATGTGGAGGTAATCCTCCTACTTCATTATTCCATTTACTTTGTGTGAAGTGTCAGTTCCACTGAGAGCAAAACAGCCCAACAGCATACTACCACCACCATACTCAGTGGCAGGTTCAGTGTTCTTGGTGTTAAAGGCCTCACCTTCTCCCCTTCAAACATATTTCTGGTCATTGTGGCCAAATGGCTGTTTTTGTTTCATCTGATCACAGAACTTTACTTCAGATGACCTTTTCTTTGTCCATGTGATCAGCAGCAAGCTTCAGCTGTGCCTAAAAGTGCCATTTTTGAAGAAAGGGCTTCCTTCTTGCACAGCAGCCTCTCAGTCCGTGGTGATGCAAAACATACCTGACCGTGGACACTGACAGCTGTGTTCCAGCAGCTTCTCTTTCATTGCAGACCTGATTTTTTGCTTTTTTCCACTAATCACATTTGTTTAACACACCTTTCTACATTACCAAAACTCTTAATCCCATTTGCTGTATATATATATATATGACCTAGCAGATGGTGTCATATTTCAGAAGACCTTTGATAAATTTGTGAAAGAACCAAAATGCATGATTATTTTTTAGGGCACATGGGTTTCCTGCCATTCAGAATTTTTCATTTACATTTTCTGTGATTTCATCATAGAAAATTCAAAATTGTAGGAGTCATTGGACTGCCACAATAAACACGGTCTTTACAATAGCATTCAAACTTTGTTCATGGCTGTAAAGTCTCTTTATGTAAGTCAAATGTATTGTTGCCAAGAGGACCAGTGGTTTTATGCGTTTATCAATATCTTCATTATTCTGCCATTAAAATGTGAAAAAAAGCATTCCCAGAGTCCCACAGTGACATCTTCAGATGTTTTATGTTAGCAGGAGAACAGAAAAGCTAGTGCCTACTGCACATGTTTGTACACCAATAGTGTTTGATTTATTATGAATTATAAGTTCTGAGGTTACACATGCATTTCTAAGAGGGGCTCTACAGTCTTTGGTTTGGGTGCTTTATATTTGATTCCTCTGCTCTTCTTCTATTCTACTTTTTTTGGTTGTGTGCAGTGTGTCCAAGCAGCATGCTGTGATCCCCAGTCAGGTGTTTGAGTTAGAGGATGGCAGCAGCAGCTATAAAGACTTTGCCATGACCAGGAACAACCGCTTCAGCAGTGCTGGTCAGGCCTCCAAAAACATCATCCAGCCTCCATCTGCAGTGCTACACTACTACAATGTTCCTCCATGCATATCGCAGGACCATTTACTGAGGGTATGGTACTTCTCTCTAATAAGTGGCATCCTTTTCTCAGTGAAGTTTTACTTTAATATTCAGCGACAGTACCTCCTTCATAAATGCCTGTCTCTGTCCCCATGACCCCCAGAAAATCAGTCTTTATTTACCTTACTCTTATTTACCTTGTGGATTTTTTCCCCATCAAAGCTTGGAGTCATTAATTTCACTGTATTAGAACTGCATGTATTAAAGAATTCCCAAAACAAACCAAGCATTTTTATAATATTCAAAGATCTGAAATAGGAATATTTAAACTGCATAAACAATATGTATGTCAATGAATGTCACAAATATCCAAAACATTAACCACAGACAGTAGGCTCCACAAGTCTGAGACCACATCAAAAAATTGTCATTTACTTCTAAACCAGGAGCATTTAAGGTGCAAGTTTGAGGAATTATAAATATATAAAAACACAAGAAGTTCTGAGATGTAAAAAGAATAAACCTGAGGCAGACTAGCGGCAGTGACTATGTGCACTCCTTTGTACAAAAGGTCAGATTGTCTTGAGTTGTATCCTTCCATTGAAGCAACGTTCAGATTATACTTGATGTGATCGACTCAGTTGAGGCTTGTGAAACTAAATCAGCCATTGTTTACTTGTTATAAATATGGCTGTTTCAGCAGAACACTGCTTGCTAAGTCGGATTGTGATATGGGGAAACATGGCATCAGAACCAAGTGGAAGTGTGAGCGGTGATATTGTAATTCTGAGAAACAAGTGGCTTTCTCAGTGTAAACTCATTGCTGAAGGTCTCCTAAGGAGCAGTGTATGGTACTATAAAACAACTGAGTTACTTGTACTTAAAGCATGATCAGGCAGACCAAAAGTGGGCACACCATCAGAAAATCTAATACATCAAGCTTTGTTTACTGAGATTAAAAAAACAACTTAATCACAGAAAGAATTTACTTAAGAATGCTCAACTCAGAACGGGTACTGAGGGCTGTTCTACAAAGCAAGTTTGACATAGTCAGACTTTGTGTAAGTCGGCTCAACAAAACTAAAACGTCAGTCAGTCAGAGATAACAGATACCACGAAGGATGTTTTCAACTTTCTTTAACTCAAGTTTTCGGTTGCAGACTCTTTCACATAAAAGGAGGCGTTTAATGTGTCATTTGATTCTTCTGTACCAAAATGAAACGATCGTGTGCAGCTGCTTCAGTCAACACGGTGTTTTAATGGAAAACAATAGGAAATATATAAACTTGTAACAGTAAAAAGCGCCGCTACTGCAAATGATGCTAGACAGGAATGCTGGTAGAAAACTGTTTAACATGCATAATATATTTTACTGATCAATGCATCTGCTTATTTCCAACTGACAGTTGCACGTTAAACCTGTTAAACCTTGAAATATTTAAACACAGTATTGTATTTTAGTGCATTCAGGTCTGACACTGTCCCATAATGCAGGAAATCACTTTAATTTTTGCTCGATTCAAAGTGAAAGGAATGTTATTAAATATATTCTTTAATAAATACATAGAACTATCAGTTTTCTAATCTGTGTTCTATCAGCTGCAGTACCAGCAGAGTAAACGGACCAAATATAAAACCATGATTTCTACATCACCAGTGACTTGCATGCGATGTGTACATTGTGCGATACTGTAACTGCATGGCTTCATTTAGTGAAATCAGCAACTCACTCAGTTTTGCGTATGTAACATTCTCAGCTGAGAATATTCATCACTCATAAAGAATTGAAACAATCTGGCGAACAGGAGGTGCTCCGTCCAGCAGATTTAAATCCAAAACATAACTCGCTCCCGTCCAGGTTAGCTCCACAGCATCAGTTACCTATTAGGTTCAAAGAGAACCGTCTTCGTGACACTGACAACTATGGCTTTAAGCACAACATACCTCGCTAACCCACAAATCTCGCTTTGTCGTATGACCCTCTGATCTCAGAAGACCTAAGGAGGGCAAACAATGCCGGATTTTTGAAAACAGAACTGCATTTTGCAGCGAATGATGGGAGAACCCAAGTCAGACACTAAAGAGAATGAGGGGATCAGAGACTTGGTCCAGAAAGTGTTTGTTTACCATTAGTAAAACCCACAGTGAATACAACATACTAAAACAGAAACCAAACAAACCATGGATGTGACCTGGGGAGGGATAATGGAGAAAGCTAACTAAATACAAAGCTAGGCTAATTCTAAAACTTCAAAATACAAACCCAAGGAAATGGGCAAGGAAGACTAAACATGAGTTACTAATCACAAACACACAAAGCAATAGCTTTATTGGAGAAAACACTAATTATGGATGAAACTAGGAGATAGGACAAAAAAACTAACCAAGACCAGGTATAACTAGCCACGGAGAGCTACTAGGAACAATGTTAAAGGCAATTACCAGGATTGACTGAGCTGAAATGAAACTGACAAACCACAAGACAGACTTAGCTGGGAAAAGGACAAACAGGAATCTTCTGGGACAGAGGTCAATGTGAATAGAGAGAGAACTCCAGTGGGAAGCAAATGAAGTAAAGAAGGCAGGTGATTCAGGGGACTTGGTCTGAATGAGGAAAGTAACAGAAACAGCAACAAACAACCCAAGGTTATAAGTGGAGGACAAGGCACGGAACCAGTCAGGGCACGTGTCAAAGCCAACAATCTGGCAGAAAGCGAGGTCTGAACCAAGGATTTATAGTGAGGAGTGTTTGATTAGAGGCAGGTGAGCAGCTCTGTGGAGAGAGACTGCAGCAAGGTATTGTTTATTGATGAATCCTAGATGGAGAATAGTTTCAGCAACAGAGGTGTGTATGTAAGGCGACCAACAGGAAAGAGAATGCTTCCCCAGTGTATCAAACCAAAAGTGAAACATGCAGCTGGAAATATGTAAGTCTGTGGCCATTTGCTTCTCTGGAGTTGGACAGCTGTAGGAAATGGAGTAAGAAAAGAAGAAAGCAGTCCTTTCCTCAGAGGTGCATTCCACCTCCTGGATGGTGTCCTTGTGGAGAAGGATTCCTACTGGAGCCGGATAATTAGCACAAATACACCTAGAAAGCAGAAATGCATATATATTGTGAAGTTTGGTTACATTTTCGTCAAACTAAGAACCTTCTTGTTGTGATACAGGATGTTTCATCGTACACTGAAAAGGCTAGAAATGTATTTATGCTGTCAGCACAATTAGACTGTACATACATGATATACAGTACTTACCTAATGTTGTCTAGAGAGCCAGTATTACTGGTAGGTGTTGGCACATTCAGGCAAAAATACAGAGTTTGTTGTTCAACAGATTTTCATACATTATCAGACACAATTGAAAACACTTTAGGAAATATTTGTTCTTGCAGGTTTATCATCAGAACAAATGAGCCTATAGGTTACATACTAAAATCAGCTAGAGAAATTATTTACTGGTATCAGAAATAAAATGTGACAGGAAAGAGCAGCAACGAAATGCTTTTGATGTCTGTTTGCTTGTTAAGGACAGATGGAGACTTGTCCAATCTGAAACCAACATCCAAATGAGATCATATGCTGACTAGTTTTGCACCCAAGTCTTGCCTAAAGCAGAACAACTAATACATCAATGACTATTTGTGTTCTCACAGCTTTGTACGGAGCATGATGTGCCTGGCTTTGTCAAATTCAAGATGTTTGATGCCAAACGTAAGTAGAACTTATTTGGTCCTTACTGTTTTTATTAAAACGTTGAATTCTTTTACTTCTGTCTGAAATAATTATCACTTTGATCATCATCTGTCTTTTAATATCATATTCTCTATTTTTCTCTCAGCGTCTTCTAAGACTATCTCTGGCTTGTTGGAGTTTGACAGTAAGACAGAGGCTGTGGAGGTTCTTACTGTTCTCAACCATTACCAGATTAGGATACCCAGTAAGTGACAAGACCAACAAAAAAGCGAACCCAAATGCACGACTCTAAAAACTCAAACGTTCTCAAACTGATTTATTTACAAAAGTATCAACAGAAATATCATTCAACAATAAAAAACCAAAACATCACTCTAACGAGGAGAATAAAGAACCAAAAAATCACTCGATGAGGAAATACAAACTAAAAATCACTCAATGAGGAAAAACTTAAAAATCTTTCTAACCAAAGTACCAACTCAAACACTTGACTAGGAAAGAGGCTGAATGCAAAGTAGCAAACAAAATACAAAACCTGAAGGTAGTTTCCACAAGGGACATGAACAGGGAAATCCTGGACATGAAGAGGGCTAGAACATGAAGCTTGACTCAATGACAAGATGAACTGGCACAGGACAAAGGGAGACTCAGACTATATATACACACACAAGGTAATGAGGAACAGGTGGAGACAATCAGGGCTGGGTAGACAATCAAACACAGGAAACACCGGGGAGAGGGCAAGCTTCCTGAAACACGAGGGCAAAGAGGTTTCAAAATAAAGGCCACGAGACAACACAAATACAAGACAAAAAACTAAATAAAACCTAACACCTGGTACGAGACATGACAGTAAGTCTATCTGAAAGACATGACTTGCCCTATAGACATCCATATTACTTAGTATCCACTCTGTCAGGCTCATGCTATTCACTTAAATTATGGTCAACAGCATTTTGAGCTGGAAAAATAATTTTCACAAATTTCAGAATTTGAAGTTTGTGCAGAAGAAAGATTTCTGTGTCAAGAAATAAGAAGTTAAATTAGGGTCTGTAAATAAAATCTGTGAACAAATTATGTCAGTGATGAGACCACGCAAAAACAGAAATAAAGAGGTGCTTTGGTAAACATCTGTGTACAGATACAGTCGCAAACAAAAGTTTACATGTTATGGCACTCTTGACTTTCAAATGACTCCTGTTACTCTTCATGTTCTACAATGAAATCATTAAAACGTACGTACGTATGTACATACATTTGTGACAAAAAAAAACAATAACACATTTTGTTTTGTTTTTAATGGATTTATTTTAGATCTTATAGAACTATGACAAAGTCTGCTGGGTCAAAAATATACGTTCAGTATCTTAAGTTATCTGTTTTGGTGACGTAGAAAGCTGCATTAATCAAATTCTCTTAGTGGCATGGCCTTTTAACTTCTCGTGTGTTATCATGATTGACTACAGTGGCTGACATCTCTGAGCCAGTTTAAATAGGCCCATTTGATACACTCAACAAACAAAGATACACCACAACTCAGGAATTTCACTTTGAGTCATTTCAAAGCAGTTACAAATCCCCAAATCATCTGAGCAAACAATTGTAAGTATAATATGCATGGCACAATTGTGTCACTGCCACAAGCCAAGAGGCTGCCATGCGAGAAGGAAGCAGCACCTTAAGGCTCAACTGAAGCTTCCTGCTGATCACACGGACAAAAAAAAAAGTTCTTTTTAGGAAAGTTCTGTAGTGAGATGAAGCAAAAAAAATTGAGCTATTGAGCCACAATGACCAGAAATATGTTTGGAAGAGAGAAGGTGAGGCCTTTCACCCCATGAACACACCGTCAAACATAGTGGTGGTAGTTTTATGCTGTTAGGCTGTTCAGCTGCCAGTGAAGCTGGAGCTTTAGACAAAGTTAATGGAACAATGAAGAAATAGGATTACCTCCACATTCTCTAGCTCCCTCATTAGTGTCTGACTCATAGACTGTATAAAAGATGGACGTAGCTACCGTGACGTCACCCGTTGGTTTCTGCACTGAGAAAATGAAGCCAGGGTTTTGCTACTTCCTGGTTGACATCTTGGATTTTTGGAGCCAGTGACAAAAAATCATCTGAGGGGGCGGAGCCATAGGAGCAGTGATTGGTCAGATGGATTGAGGGCAGGCCCTCTCTGCCCGCCCACATTTACCGCCTTCTGCTCACTTCATCTGCATCGTTGCTGGCGACTGTCAACCAAGCCAGCCACGCCCCTTGCCCCGCAAAATGTTGACGATTTTTTAAAAATTCAGTATTGATTTATTTTCAGATTGGCCACCTGATCTCTGGACTTGACCATGAAAACTAATAAGAAAAAAATCCTGAGCTGTAGGAATGTGGTATTTCGTGATCTGTGATCACTTCTTTTCCATTTCAAGTCTATGGGAGCCAGGGCTTTTTGGAGCCAGGACTAGCGGACGTAGTGATATTGCAGGTTTTTGACACTTCCGGGTTGGCTTCATTTTTCAGGGCCGGTTGCTACGTCCATCTTTTATATAGTCTATGGTCTGACTGGGGTTCTCCTTCAACATTTTTCCATCATTCACTGTAAACAGCAGTTGTTTTAAAAAATTTGGCATTGTTTGTCCTCCTTAGATCTTCTTACATCAGAGGGTTGTACTACAAAGCAGGACTAGTGGGTTAACAGGTATGTTGAGCTTAAAGCCAGAGTTTTCAGTGTCACGAAGGTGGTTCTCTTTTAACCTACTAGCTCTCCATGGTAACTGATGCTGTGGAGCTAACCTGGATGGGAGCAGGTTATGTTCAGAGTTTGAGATTTTAATCGGCTGGAAAGACCGTCTCCCTTTAAACAAATCATTTCCTGATGATTCTTTATGAGTGATACAGATTCTCAGCTGAGGGAATGTGTTTTATCTGCCAACATGCTGAGTTGTGTGTGACTAATACCACTGAATAAAGCCGTGTAGTTACAGTCTTACACACTATATATATCGTGTTGCCATGGGAACCAGACATGTATTTAGTTGGTGATGCAGAAATCACATAAATATGTTTTTTTGTTTGGCTCTGATTTGCTGTCAAGTCTGTTTTCTCTGCTGGTACTGCAGCTGATAGAACACAGAAAATGGATTATTCTTCTGGTATTTATTACAGAGAATATTCAATCAATAACATTAATTTCACTTTGATTTGGCCAAAAATTAAAGTGATATCCTGCATTATGGGACAGTGTCAGACCTAAATGTACTTCAGTACAGGATCAGGTTTAAATCTATTAAATGTAACTTTAACATGCAGCTGAAATATCGGCTGCATCAGCAAAATATTTTATATTAACACGTTTAATAGTTTTCTGGGTTAAACAGGTTAAACGCCTCCTTTTATGGAAACAGAGTCTGAAGCAGAATGTCTGAGTAAACAAAGAAAGTTGAACCACCTTCATGATATCTATTATCTCTGACTGAGGCTTTAGTTTTTGTTGAGCTGACTTACACAAAGAAAGCCTGTCTTTGTTAGACTTGCTTCGTAGTACAGTCCTCAGGAAAACCTTAAAATCAGCAATTGGGTGTTCCGTTAGTTGGTGATTCTAAATTGTCCGTAGGTGTGAATGTGAGTGTGCTTGGTTGTCTGTCTCTAAGTGTAGCCCTGCAATAGACTGGCGACCTGTCCAGGGTGTCCCCTGCCTTCGCCCTGAGTCGGCTGGGATAGGCTCCAGCCTCCCCGCGACCCTAGTGAGGATTAAGCGGTGTATAGATAATGGATGGATGGATGAGGATAAAGCTGCACACCCTTTCCACAAGTGATCCATTTAAGTACCTAGGAGTGCACATCTCTGAGCATCAGTCTTGGACCAAACAAATCAAAAGTCCGGGGAAGAAGGCGAGGCAGGTTCTTTATCACCTTAGACATTCAAAGTCTCCTTGAAGGTCCTGAGGAAATTTTACTGTAGTGCTGGACAGGGCCCTGACTGGACGCATCACCCAGTGCTACGGGAAAGCACTGCCTGCAACCACAGGGCACAGCACTTCCCACCCTACAGGACGTCTGGACAAGGAGGAGCGTGGTCAGGGCAAATAGGATTATGGAGGGTTCCTACCACCACAGCAACACACTGCTAAAGTGGCTTCAGTCTGGCCAGCGCCTGCACAACATTAGGGCAAGTACAGAGAGACTTGGGAAAAGCTTCTTCTCCCATGCTGTCAGGACTGTGAACTCTGAGCGCAGGTCAAATTCCAAATCATAGCACCTCATCTGTCAGCTACAGCACACTGGATCAGTGCATGTAGGTGTATGCGCACACCCACTGCACTTTAGCATGTGTCATTGTTATTGCACAGCCTTGTGGAACTGTCATTTTGCATTGCATTTTTGGAACACACAAAAACTCTTCAATCTCTTGAATCGAAACAGCAGTGTCCAGTGTGGCCTGTTGAAAATTCATGTGCTCCACTGCATACTATTGGGTACAGCATAAACCATTATACAGGGCAACAATTGTTCCCCAATACATAGGCCTTTTGATTTGTTTTGCCTTTAATTTAAAAAAATCCTTGGTAGTATTAGGTTTGCTAATAACCTAACATGCTATGTGAAAGTTAAATTGTGTCAAGATGAAGCAGTCTTCCTGAACTTTAATAATTTGGCCAACTATGTTACCTTAGAAAATACCAGATAATTAGCAAATAACTGCATGCTCCTTAGATACACGGAACATGTTCACAATCACTTTGTACAGGATCATCAAATTTAACAAACTCACTCAGGTCGCAAAAGAGCCTAACGCAGCATTTATATTCTAGAAGGTGTATTGCCTGCCACTGCAAGAAAAAAAACAATTGATTACTTCAAGTCTGCTTAATATTTTTGTGCCCTTGCGCTGGCGACAGCTTTAGCTGGAGACCAAATGTTTTTGGGTTGTATGTCTATTTGTCCCATTCTCATGAATACCGTGTCTCAGGAATGCCTTCAGCCAACATCTACTTGGACTAAATGATGGCCTAGTTAGACTTTAGTGGTGATATGTCAAGGTTTACAGCATAATGTTTTGTAAAATCATATTTGTACCAATATTCAACATCATAACTTGGGAACTAAAGGGGAGATAGTGACCACATTTCACATTTGATTGAATACTGAATTTGTAATACCAACCTAGGTGCCACCTTGAAGCTGCTTGGATTATATAGATATGTGCTGCAGAGTTGAAGATGTGTGTGAGACATCCATGTTTTAGTATTTGTAGGTTTTTTGACACAACCTCCATATTTGAAGTTTTGTCTACTTTCGTGACAACTTTACCAGCTTTGCTGGCCAACCATGTGCACTAGTTTTTGGTTCTCTTGTTGAAGACCATTCATAGTCTTCACTACATACATTATACAAGTCAGACATGGATGTAAACTGCAACTTTTCTTGCATTTGGTTGGCACAGGCATAAACCGTGAGGTGGTCATTGTAGTTAATCTGAGGTTTGAGAGAAAGATCATACTTTGCTCTGGTTTCTTTTTCCCATAAATCCTACCCTTCCCTTTCAATGTCATACTTGATTTTTCAAGTTTCACTCTTCCAGGGGATACCTTAAGTTCTTAACGTGCCACAGCAGAGTTTCAATGTCTTGGTCAGCAAAATGTCTCATTTTCCAAGCACTGGCTTGGTAGTGAACATAGTCAAGTACAGAGCTTTTCCTTGTGTAATGTAACAGCCATTTTCTAATGTGTTTGTTTCTTTTCGTTGCAATACGTGCTTATACAGGAGGTGGCACTGGCAGCTTGTGGTGGAAGTGTATTTTACTGCCAGGTTACTCAGGCCAGGTGTGCATGATCGAGGCAAAAACTTTTCTGACTGCAATGTAGACCACAATGTAGACGCAAAGTAGAGACAATGCAGAGGTAACTGTAAATGGGGGCGGTGCATTTAATAGACTACCGAATTGCCATATATTACTTATTTGTGGAAACAATAAAGAATCCAACTGGAATTACCTGGACATCGTTTTGTGTGAGACAAACCTGGTGTCCGCATTAAAAATTGCAACATCATGTACCGACAGTAAGTGACAGTGGAAAGCCCCTACCCTTGGTATAGTAACTGCATTGTCGCTCTCTCTGTCAAGGGGGAGAGAGTCACACCCTGCCAGACCTCCAATGAGATTTAACATATTCTCATATTTTCAAATGTTTTTGCTAAATTAACAAATGAAACAGACAGAAATAGGAATTCTGTCGCCATCCCCAGAGGTAGCATGTAACATCTGATTTCAAATTACCAGTTACATGCACCTCCTTTTGGAAGTGACGTTGGATTTCAGAGGGCAATAAAACAGTGAATAGCCACATAAAATTTCAACTTGTGTCACCTGGTCTGCACTTATATAGCACTTTTCTACCATAGTGGCACTCAAATGAACAATGTTTTCTCATTCAACCCATTCACACACACATTCATACACCAATGGCAACAGAGCTGCCATGCAAGGTGTCGGGCATTGGGAGCAACTTGGGGTTCAGTGTCTTGCCCGAGGACACTAACCTTGCGATTAGAGTACAACCGTTCTACCACCTGAGCCACAGCCTCCCAAGCCCACCATTCACATGTCGTGTGATGTCAGCATCTCTGCATTGAATCTAAATGCACAATATGCTCACAAAGTACTGAATCCTGTTCTACATACTCTGTTTTGGTGGGTGGCGCTTTGCACCTAAGATATGGCCAATGCTAGAGATAGTGCTGAACATGCTTGTAGCTGAACGAACCACCCTGGTGAGTTTTTCACACTGTGAAAAGTGATGTAATTAAAATTAAACCTTGATTTTTGAACATTCCATTATAAGCTCACAATCTAGCCCCATATAGAATTGATCATGTTTACAACTGGAAGTAAATATGCAAAAAATAAAAATCTAAGTAAATATGTATGTACAGAGAAAGAAGCAAGCCAATGGGGGTAAAGGAGGTTCTTCATTTCTTGCAACTAAATATCTGTAACCTGACTCTTATATAAAGTATTTTTTATGTGTGTGTTTGTGTGATTTCAGATGGGTCCAATCCGTACACCCTGAAATTGTGTTTTTCCACCTCATCTCACCTATAAAGAGCTGCAGAGGACAGAACAGGCTGCTGAGTCTGTTGATGGCTGACCTCTGACCTATGAGAGGAAGCAGGAGCAGGATCATGAGACACAGACACGTGAAACAGTGCCGGGGAGATTAATACAAAAAAATAAAAAATGAAAGAAGAAATGAGAGAGAGATGGACGTTAAAGGAGATAAAACAAGATGATAAGAAAAGTGTTAAAGAGAGAGAAAACACTGTCTCTGTCTCCAAACTGAACATCAATGGACACTTGTCATCCGAACAGCCAATCACAACTCAAAAGCTGACAGACTAGCAACCTATTTGAAACATTATTATAATGTGATTATGGGACACATGGAGGAACTGCTTGTCCCAGATGTCTTCACTGCATGGTAGACCGGTCTTTGCCCGGCAAGTAGACGGAGGACGACCCACTCTGAGAAATCTGCTGTGAAACCTGAATCTGCTTCAGTGACCTCAGACATCTCTAAAGGCATTATCTGTGCACATGGAATATGGTAACTTAAATAACACGGTCCTGTTTCAAATAGTAAATAAATATGCTATGTTTTTGTTTTTTTAAACTGTTGCCAAACAAATATAGCAAAAGTGGATACAATCTAACAGAGGGTCTCTTTTAAGGGTCATTAGTGCGGAAGGATGTTTCTTGCCATGGCAGTAGCTAAGCCTTAAGACTGAGATATCTCTCCACTGTCTGGTGAACATGAGATATCTCAGCTCAACTTTTAGTTTTGCTGTGGACATTGGTCCCTTAGGGTAAAACTCTTAATGGTTGTGGTGACCTTCTGATGTGACGTTTCCCTACTGGCAGCCTAAGGTCAGAATTTGCACTGAACACTTTGGTTTAAGACATGATATCTGGAAAACTAATGGCAGGATTTCCATTGGACTTTAGTGAATATTCATGTTTCCCAGAGGAGGAATTCAAATGTTTATTTAAAAAAATTCAAAATAAAAAAACTTCCTGGTATTTGAGTTAGCGCCACCTTCAGCTTTCCCAATCCTGTTAGCTTACAGGTTGGGGCTTTCCATAGAAGTGGAGAAGAAGAACATATGTGTTCTGTTTTCATTTGCCAAGTTGCACAAGGAAAATTTGTGAGCCTTTATCTAACATTAGCAACACATTATGAGCTTTTGATAATGTAGTCAAGCCGAAGGCTCATGTTATCATGTAGAGAGGTGTACATAACATACATTCTGAAACATCGACTTGCAGGTGACCCTTTACGGTTCACTTTTTTTTCTTCAGAATCTTTTTCCAGTTAGAAAGGGTATGGCTGCTCCAGTTCCAGTCCTTGGCATTGTGTAAAGTAGTTTTACAGTGTTTGAGCAAGGTCAAAGGTGAACACAAGTACTTGAGCTACAGGCAAGCGGCTTAGGGGTTAAGGGAGCTAAACGCAGAGACTCTTGAATATGAGCTTCAGTGACCTTTTTGGTAGCAGTGCCCTCAGAACAAATGTTACATTTTCTGCTCCACATTACACAAATCTCTATGAATGGGAACGTTATTATTGTTGTTTTTTGTATTGTTGTTGGTTTTCTCTTTCTTTCTTTCTTTCTTTCTTTCTTTCTTTCTTTCTTTCTTTGGTCTTTAAGATTGTAGGTTTTATAAACATACAGCACCATGGAGCCACTGGCAGGGTTTTGGACTTTGAAGCTTTTTTGAATTATTTAAAATTATGTCACTTTAATATTTTCAATTCTAATTATTCTCATAGCCTAACAATGATTTCACTTGAACTATTGTATACATCCCAAAAGCCTCAACAGGATAGAGCAGTGTATCAAAAATAGATGGATGTAAATTTTGTTGTCGTGTTATAATGGGTTAAAGGTACTTTTTCACATGCACTCAGTATTGCATTTGAAAAATTTATAGTGTTTGCGTATAGTTTTACCCATAAGGTTGTGCATTATGTCCATAAATATGGTTAATGCATTAGTTAAATTCAGAATTCAGTAAAATAATCCTCACACTCTCACAGTATGCTCCCAGACACAGTGGCGACATGTGGCTTTGGCTTCATGGCATTCCAATTACTCCCTTTGTAGACACATAATGCACCACATGAAAAACAGAATTGTAACAGTGTAAAAAAACACGAGTATGCTCACAACATTGATAACACAGACAAATGGTGTTTTAAGAGCTTTAGCTGCTTTCTGTCTGTGACTTTTTTTTCTGTTTGTGGTCCCATATTTGCTGTATGAATAGATATTCATCACTTGGTGGCTCCACAGATCTTCCATAAATGAATAAGTATCGTATTGTCACAGAGTTGCTGTTTCGTTCTTTTTTACCAGTCATTACTGTTTAGATACTTTTGGTGGACATGCATGAAATTGAAAACCAGAGCTTAGAGCTGTGCAAAGTCTCCATGGCAAGCCAGGAGTCAGATTTGATCTTACTATGTGTTGAGCCGAAAATCACATGAGGCAAACAATAGACCTGAGACCAAGATTCTACATGTATGTAAACACAGCCATAGCTTGCCAGGTGATTTCAACTAGAGATATGGGGCCTAATATGGCAACATGTCAATATTAAAGTCTGATCTAAAAAAAAATCTGCTGTTTCTAAATAGTTTATTGGCGTAACAAGTTTTCCTTCAAATTAGGCTGTTGCAGCAACGGATCATTTAGTCAGTGTAAACCAATGGAATATGTGTAATGACTATTCGTTGGATATGATGAATAGTAAGCTTGCAAGTTAGCTATTCTTACAAGAGATCACTCAGCAGCTTACCTGCTGCTTACACATATACAGTGTTTATTATTACGCCAGTTGTGCTACCAAACACAAGACACGGCTAAAGCTAAGTCCAATTTGGACGTTGTTTTAACGTTGGTGAATCTAGCTGAAATATCTGTTGCAGATATACACTGCTTTTTAAAATGAAATGCAAAACTACTGTAAGATTAGTATGTTAAAGTAGAACTCTGAAATAGCTCTCCAGTTTGGGTAGTAATTTTACTGACAGTCTAATCTTAGTTCCAATCTCAGTTTGTATCAATTCCACTCTCGTTAGAGCAGGGACAGACTACAATTATGACAAAAGATAGAAATATGCAACTATTTGCATTGTGCATGCAAGACTACTTCAGTTGTGTAATATTTAATGACCTTTTGCTTTGTCATATAGAACACAATATTCACTTTCATTGTGGTATTCTTGTTCTTTTTTTTTTTTTTAATCTATTGCTATACACTACCTACACTTTTTTTTCTTTTCTTTTAGAATTTTGCATAACATAGAAGTGAATAAACAGAGAACCAAAAATCTAGAAGATGCCCAGGCTTCACATGAAGCCACAGTACGGCTGAGGAGACACACTGAGCTTTTTTTTTCCGGCTGTTTCTTTGGTGAAGTACAGTAACAAACATCATATTGTTTCTGTTCCATTCAGATCTTACTGCTCCAAAACTCTCCTTTAGTACGCCAGGATTCATTGCAATTGTGAATTAATGCATGCCTATTGTAAATAGTATGTAAATAAGGATAAGTTGGGAAGGGTTCCAGCAGATGAAGCCTACTCAGTCTAAGTTATTGCTCATTTAGATGTTGTGCAACAGTTTTAAATGGATTCTGAGAGGTTTGTACTTATCTTACATTACTTAAATGTTACTGTATTTTCTAATAAGATTTTCTGTTTTTAAAGTTAAAGCCTATAAGCTTTGATTAAGGTTGGCTGTGAGTTTTTAACCCTCTGAGGACTGGAAAAGCATTCATTTTATGGTTTGTTTGTTACTCAAGGCTTGCAATTTTGAAGAAACAAAACATGCAATATCTTGCATGTGGGTTTTTTTCATGTTAAAAACAAAGGAAATATTATCAATTCAAATTGCATTTTACTTTTAACTATTTACATTAAGCGATATTATAGCAGCATATATATTCGAATTTCCCAGCTTGTGCTGAAAAAAAAAAATTGATCAGTTACTTACTTGTATTTTAGAGTACGGAATTTATTTATTTATTTTCTAGACCTGAGGCAGCAGTAAAATGAAAACAGTGGCCAAGACCCCAGAGGGTTAATCAAAGAACTGATGGTATGAGACAGATCCACAGGTATCTTTAGCAGTTGATGCTGTACAGGTTTACTGTTGGTAATAGTTTGTAGTCAGTAACAAAACACAGAAAAACACATTCAACAAGATTGTTCCCTTCTTTTAAGAATCTCTGTAGTTGTAACTTAAATGTACATGTTCAAATTAAATAAGTAAATAAGTAAAGTCACATACACACTGCTGTCTTTCACTTGTCTTTATTTACAGATTAACATTCATTTAATTAGTTTTACCATCTTTTATCATATTCAGGAGGCCTTACATTTTTCGCCAATCATTAAAAGAGAAAAATAGTATAATGCCAGTTAGTTTCCTTTCTGTAGTGTGCTACTGTCACAGAACGCTTAGAATTAGTCACATTAATGAATAAGTTGTTTACTTTAAAAAGTTACAATAAATGGTTTAATTAAATGAGCCTTTAAATTATACATTGATTTGCACAAAGTAAAATACTAGTGTAAAAAAAGACATTTATTTCCCAATTAATTTGATGAAGGTTCTACAAAACATGTTTCAAGTCCATTACTGTTGTATCTTGTAAAGATAATATGAACATGTTACAGACTAGTTTAATAATCGTTGTATTACTTTCTCCTTGCCACAACTTCAAATATGATCAAATATAAGTGTTTGAAAATGTATCGATTTCTTCACTCAGTGTATTTAAACACAGGAATAAAAAAAAAAAAAACACACATAAAAAAACATGAACCTATTGTGGTAGACCACTACAAATACATTCCACATTCATTAATGTACACATACATTTTTCTAAATTGGCTGTTGGCCACACTCACTTCCTGAAGGAGACAGATGTAAACACCAGCTGAGTTTATGTTATACTAAAGGAAAGGGAACATTAAACACAGTCACCCACCCAATCCTTGTTTATTGGTTTCAAAGCTGTCCTAAAGTTTCCACCATCTCTGAATGTCCCTAACAGTTTTCAAAGTTCTGAACTGCAATCATTGGTAACAACAGTCACATGAGCTGCACAACATGCTAACACTAAGGAGTTTCTAATTGATGTGATGGCATTGCCATAAGTAGTAAAAGCTATCACTGGGTCTAAAGTTCATCAGATGCCTATGTTTTCTCTTGTAGCCAACAGCAGAACAGCTGATGTGCTTTGCTCATGTCTGAGACCTTTAACAGTTAGCAGAAGCAGCTGTAGAAAGTAAATAAACCTGGTGGACTGCCAGTCATTATGACTTGTTCATCAGAAGGCTGGACTACGAAGCAAGATTAGTGGGTTAGTGAGGTATGTTGAGCCTAAAGTCTGAATTTTCAGTGTAATGGAGGTGGTTGTCTTTTAACCAGCTTGATCACCACGGCAACTGATGTTGTGGAGCAAACCTGAGGGCTGATCTACAAAGCAAGTACCAGGCTTTCTGTGTGGAAGCCGGCTCAACAAAAACTAAAGCCCCAGCCAGAGCTTACGGGTATCATGAGGGTGGTTATCAACTTTCTTTAACTCGGTCTTTCTGCTTCAGACTCTGTTTACACAAATAAGACGTTTAATGCATCATGTGACTCTTCTTCTGCACTAAATGAAACAATCATGAGCAGTTGGTTCAGTAAACACGTTGTTTGAATGGAGAACAATGAGGAAAATAAAAAATGTATGACGGTAAAAAGCACCGCTACTGCAAATGGTGCAAGACAGAAATGCTGGTAGAAAACTGTTAAACATGTTAATATATTTATTTTACGGATCAAAGCGCCAACTGATTTTTAACTGACAGCTCCATATTAAACCTGTTAAACTTAATAAATGTATATGTATAAACTTGATCTTGTATTGAAGTGACTGTAGATCTGACACTGTCCCATAATGCAGGAAATCACTATAATTTTTGAAGTTAATGTTATTGATTGAATATTCTCTGTAATAAATACCAGTAGAATAATCCATTTTTGTCATGGCTTTGTTAAGGCTGCTGACCCACATGCAGAGAAACACTCAGGAGAAACAGGGCTTTAGAAGAATGATATTTATTGCAGTGGTTGAATTCAATTCAATTTAATTTTATTTGTATAGCGCATATTTACAACAACAGTCATCTCATAGCGCTTCACAAAGGCAGAAACAGAAACACCCAACAATCCAAAACATTTGGATTCCCTATAAGCTTCAGCAGTCTGCAAGCAGTCCGCAACAGTGGGAAGGAACCGAAAACCCCCACAGGGGAAAAAAAACCTCCGACAGAACCAGGCTCAGGGAGGGACGGCCATCTGCCTCGTCCGGTTGGGTGAGAGTGGGATGAATTATACAGTTTAGTTTACAGTTGGTTGGTAATGTGCAACGATGAACTTGATTCCGGTGGAGACGTCGATGTGGGTTTGTGGACGGCTAGGAAGGACAGGTGGCTCAGAGATCAAAACAGTGGAGTGAGTGAGAACCAAGAGCAGGGGTGGGCAATCTTGGTCCTCGAGGGCCACAATCAGATGTTTCCCTCTTCCAACACATCTGATGCAAATGATCAGGATCGTTATCAGGCGTCTGCAGAGAAATTTCCTGTTGCACCCAAAGTGCAAGAGAATCAATTGAATGTTCTTAATGGAATATATCCTTCTGCTGATTTCTTAAGGAAACCTTCTGGATTTGAGAACAATAGCTGTTCCTTTTGCAATGACCATGTCAAAACTCCAGACCATATATTCTATGAATGTATGTACTCTGAAGTGTTTTGGGATGATTTACATCACTGGTTATCTAAACATGTACCAGCTCCTGTTTTTAAATGTGAAAATATTTTGTATGGTTTTATCATTTAGAATTCTTTTCACGACATGTCAATTAATACCATTGTAATTATAGCCAATTTAATTTTTTTTTATACACAAAAATTTTTTTTATACACAAAAACATATTTCTAAAATGTAAACTACATTTTTATGTGTTTCATAAAGAACTGTGTTTGTTCTTCTCATCACATGAAGAAACGGAGTGCTGTGAAACTCCTCAACACGGTAGATGTAAAACTAATGGACAACACCGAGCTCCGTTGACATTCATCCAAGGACAGAACCCTTCAATTTCTTTCTTTATTAGGGTCCTTGCCCGCTGCTACTCTTCCTGTATCGTTTCTTTCTTTTTTATTTTTCTGACCAACGCGAAAACCTTAATTAGACCTCCTAGACACGCTCAAAAACTCACCAGAATTAGCACGCACCTCTGACTCGGCGAAAAAAATGGATAAAATGGAAAAACAAAACAAAACAAAATAAAACAAAACAAAACAAAACAAAAAAAGGGGGGGGGGGGCTCTCTAGCGCCCCCTAGGTACAAAAAACACACTAAAACCGTCCTAGCGGCCAGTAGGAATGTCGTACAGAGATCAAACCAACACCAAAACATTTGTCTCAATGAGACTCACAAATCCCACGCCGACACCCCGACCTATCTCAAACAGGAAGTCCGCAATTTGCCTTTCAAAGTAAAAAAAAAAAAGAGTGAAAACATCTTTTGGAAAAAAAAAAATTAACTTGTCTGACATCATAAATGGCATCAGCTTGAAAATCACACAGGAGACAGAGAAGGCCATGATGAGCAACAGTTCTGAAGGGATTTGGCGTTTCTCAAACGGTTTCAGAATGGCGAGCTGTTAAAGTTGATGAGCTGTTGCAGCCTCGGGTGATGCTTTGTATGGCTGTGGTACATCTCCAAACATGCTGTGTCATTTGGTCATCTACACAAAAAACAAAGGTCCTACAGCTTTAAAAATGACATTGAGCGCTTTCAAACAAGATTTACCACAAAAATATGCTGTTTTTAAACATATTTGGTGAAAATTGTAGCTGTATGGGAGAGAGAAACTGAACAAAAATGTAACTCTCTCAGCCAGGGGCATGAAGAACGATGACTCATCATGACATCATCACCTGCCATAATCCTGATTGGCAGCTCAGTGGAGCTGCTCATATGACTCACTGACAGTCTGAGGCTGAGAAGACAGACTATGAAAATTGCCTATTAGCAGGTCAAAGTCTAGTGAAGGGGAATAAATTGTCAAAGTAGAGGTCAGACGGGCATGAGGTTGCAATACAGACCGAGGACCCGACCAACGTTGCTTGCAGATTTAATTTTGTTTTACTTTTTTCCTCTCATCTTTGTTATTATTATTTACCTCACACCTATTCCTGTTCTTTTTTTAAAAAAAATTTTTTGGGCCTTTTTGTCTTTATTGGTCAGTGTAGTGAGAGAGTGAGACAGGAAAGGGGGGAGAAGAGACGGGGGAGGACCTGCAGCAAAGGCTCATGAGCCAGACTCCAACCCACGACTGCTGCATCGGGGAACTATAGCCCCTGTTCATGGGTCGCCCTCTCAACTAGGTGAGCTATAGGGGCGCCCTACACCTATTCCTGTTCTACACTGCTCAAAAAAATCAAAGGAACACTAAAATAGCACACCCTAGATCTCAATGAATGATATATTCCAGTTGAAAAACTTTATTTATTACATAGTGGAATGAGTTGAGAACAAAATAACATAAAAATGATCAATGTAAATCAAAATGATCATCCCATGGATTTGGAATCATATGCAAAATAAAAGTGGAAAATTGCATTACAGGCTGATCCAACTTTAGTGGAAAGTCCTCAAGACAAGTCAGCACAAGGCTCAGTAGTGCGTGTGTGGCGTCCACGTGTCTGTATGAAGAGCTCAGGGCACCAGTGGCGAATCTGCCAATCTTGGTGTTCTCTGGCAAATGCCAATCACCCTGCACGGTGTTGGGCTGTAAGCACAAGCCCCAACACCACCCTCATGGAGTCTGTTTCTGACGGTCTGAGCAGAAACATGCATATTAGTGGCCTGCTGGAGGTCATTCTGCAGAGTTCTGGCAGTGCTTCTCCTGGTCCTCCTGCACAAAGGAGGAGGTAGTGTCCTGCTGCTGGGTTGTTGCCCTCCTACGACCCCCTCCACGTCTCCTAGTGTACTGGTCTGTCTCCTGGTACCTCCTCCATACTGTGGACACTGTACTGAGAGACACGGCAAACCTTCTTGCCACAGCTTGCATTGATGCGTCATCCTGGATGAGCTGCACTACCTGAGCGACTTGTGTAGGTTGTGGACACCGCCTCATGCTACCTCTAGGGGTGAGAGCACTGACAAAATGCAAAGTGACCAAAACATCAGCCAGAAAGGACGACAACAGAGACATGATCTGTGGTCACCACCTGCAGATCCTCTCCTTTATAGGGGTTGTCTTGCTAATTGCCTCTCATTTCCACCTGTTGTCTGTTTCATTTGCACAACAGCAGGTGAAATTGATTCACCATCAGTGTTGCTTCCTAACTGGACTGGTTGATTTCACAGAAGTGTGGTTAACATTGTGTTGTTTAGGTGTTCCCTTTATTTTTTGGGGCAGTGCATTTTACTATTCATATGTCTTGTACGACTGTTGACCTCTTCATCTTCCAATTGTACAAAAATGATTTCATCAAATTAAACAACAAAAAACTTTGGGGGGGATTGAACCACCAACCTTTAGAGGAGGACTGCTCTACCACCTGAGCCACAGCCGCCCACAATGAACAGCATGTCAAGTTTGTTTGTGTCATTTGATCCATGTTGTCCTTACATACAGTCTTCATCATGACTTGCTGCATGATAATGCTCCAGTCACTCTGAGAAGCAGTAATAATGCTTGGTTTTCCTACGGACACCGAGTGGAGAATAAAAAACAGTTGGCAAACTTTAAGATTATGACATCAATGAAAAAAAAAAAAAGTGAGGTAATCGGATTCAAACAATGTTTTTCAACATTTCCACAAAGACCACACTGCTGGGAAGGTTAATGTTTGGTTTACTTAAAATCAGGAACAGAGGAACGCCTACAAACTTGGGCTGCAGGACAAGGGTGGCATCTCACTGCAAGGAGTCTGCAGGTCCCATAGAATCTCTTTTTAGTCCTTGTGCTGACAGAGAGCAAGAGTTAGAGGAGAAAGACACAGACAATGTTATACACACACACACACACGCTTTGACAGGGACAAGAAGAGTGGGCTTTAACTTGAACTTTGGAACTTCACTAGCTGTTATCACAAACAGCATTTTCTACTGATGTTTACCAAAGTATGAGCAGTTTCAGTAGTTTCTGATGTGATATGAATTTGTATTAAATTGTTCATGTTCTTGGTTACCTTTTAGTTGTTGGTGTAAACAAGTCCAGTAAGAATAAAATACAGTAATAAGCCGCTGTTTTTTATGGTAAAGATAATCAGAGTAGATGAGCTGAGGTGGTGAGTAGTACCCTGCTGTTCCAATTGCAAAGTGACCACAATGCATTCTTCTTTTATCGGGAATCTGGACTTGTGAGTCCGTACCACCAAGTACGAGAGTAAAATGTTTTGACTTTTGTAAAAGGATTAGACCAGGGGTGTCAATCTCAAAAACACAGTGGGCCAAAATTTAAAAGCTGAACAACGTCGCGGGTCAACATTGAATAAATGAATCTTTTAATATGGACTGAAACAAATTTTGTTTTAACATTGAATATGGAACAAGCAACGCTTATTACCATACATTATATATAACTTAATAGTGGAGACATGCAAAATCAAATTATAAATAAAAAAACACATCAATGGCACAGTGACAGTTGTAGTGTGAAGTCGCTATGCCTACTGTCACAGAGGAGAGGGAGTTTCTAGGTCCTGTCCTGATTGATGTGCCAAAACAACAACAGCTCTAGTAGTCATTTGGTATTGTCTCGCGGGCCAAATATAATTACAAAGCGGGCCAAATTTGGCCCACGGGCCAGAGTTTGACACCCCTGGATTAGACTGTCTAAGTACAGTAATATCACCCATATTGGAACTCAGGATTCAGCTAGACTAATTTAACTAAATATTTTGCTTTCTCAGAATCAAAGGCACCTTTCCATGCACCATCAATGTAAAGGTACTAACTCTTCATCAGGTGACAAATTACTTTCTCACCATCCACAGCTTCAGTGTGTTTTAAGGCTTTGAAAATGAGGCGAAATTAAATCCCCAAACTTATAACAAACGTATCTGGTACATTTTCTTATGAATAAAAAAAAAAACAAAAAAAAACTCAGAAGTGCTTTCTTTGATAAACAAGTGAAAAGACGCTTTGAGATACTGTATTTCCAAACCACAACATGTATTTGACCATGACTGTTGGACATGAGAAGCACCTTTTGGTTCTGTTGACTGTTGAGGCTCAAGTGGACATTTGAGGAACTGCTGTTTTTTGAACTTGCTTTCCTTTTTCATCTGTAGATTGTAGCTGTACACAAACACACATATCATTATGGACTAATTCACTAAGTGAAAACAATAGCACCTATGTAGTGACTGCTCATTTCTAATAATTATCCATTCAGTAAATTCTCTGGCAGTTGCACACTTGTTTCACTCGACACTGCAACAAACGCAGTATGTAACAAATGTAGGCTGTTTATGCGACTAGTGTAGAAATTGACAACGGCGGACGTCCCAGCAGCAGTGAACACTCCCAGGCGTTCAGGTTACGTGCTTCGGCGCTTTGTCTCCCGCTCAGGCCACGTGACAGTATTCTATTTCCTGATTGGCAGTTTTGAATTACGTCGCGTAATTTCATTGGTGCGTTTTGAACTAGCGCTCCATTCAAAAAAAGTCTGACAGCATTCCAGCGCTAGTCTGAGCACGGAGAGCACCGGCGATAAGACGTGCGTCGCAGTCAGGTAACTTTTCTTATTTTTAAAATATAGGGTCAGTTGTTAATTACACAGTTGTCGAGTTAGTTGAAGTTGTGGGCTATTCAGTCTGGATAGAAAGTGCTTCAGCTGTTCTTTTGAGTTCTCTTGATGATTTAGCATAGCAAGCTAACGTTGGTGGCCGTAGCCTGCGTGTTAAGCTCAAAGAAAACGGCAATTTTAAGGATCGAATAACGACTTTATGTTGTTGTCATTTATCCATTTTGTTGTCGAAGGCTAAACTAACGATCTAAATAAAACCTAGATACGAGCCACCGAAAACCTGTAACATGAACAACAGTAAAGCGTTATTTAACGTCGGAGCAACGGAACTCCAACGTTAATTTGCTTCGGCGCATCCAAAAATGCCACAGTTTGAAAAGATCCTGTTGTATTTATGAAACAAAAACATATATATGTTGTTGTAAATAGATTAGTTCAAAGTTAGTTACGTGATTTTCCGAATTTAATGTGTATGTATGTTTGCTTCACACTTTCAGCCTTGTTAACTCTTCCACCATATCTTGCTTTACACGTTCAGCAGTCACTTTACCGTAATGCCAGCAGCAAGCTTGCTCATATGAAAGTATGTCAGCTACGCATTAATTGAAGCTGCTGGAAAGTCGTGTTTGTTTTTGATGGTTGAAATTACATTATAATGTGTTTTTTTTCAGGAAATAATGGAAGACTACTTGAAAATAGAGAAAATCGGCGAAGGTTGGTCTTATTGTGTTGTGTCTAAATTATACAAAAGAAATTCAACAAATGCAGTTGTACCGATTTTAAGTGAGATTTCAGCTTTATGGACGTGATGTTACACTGTTAGCATATTTCCACTGTGAGTATTGATATGTCTTGATTGTAGAGCTGCTGTAGTGTAAGTTTGGCTCTTTTGAAGTCCTGAGACTTGATTTAGCAACCTCACGAGCAGTAACACCAGTCATCATCTTGAATGGATCTCTGACTTAATTATTGACTTTGTGTCACTCATGTCTGACTTGCTATGCATTCAAGCAGACTTCCCAAAGGTTAAAATCCAACACACACAGACTTTACATTCAAGATAAGGTATTAATCAGTAGTCTTTTGACAGTGGAATCAAGAAGTCATACTTCAGCGTTTATTCTGACTCAGACTGGACTTTTGCAGGTTGATGAGACACAACAGTAAGACTGGTCCACATAAATAATTTAGTGAAGGCAATGTGTGTGTTAGCATATGTGACAGAAATGTATGCCCATTCCTGTTGTTTCTGTGTAGACAGAAAAATAATAACACAATGACTGAAACTGGCAAAGAAACGACACAGTGTTTTACCCAGTGAGTGAGTTTTGTTCCTGGACAAGTTGGATAGATTGACTTGTCCAAAGGACAGGGAAATAAAGTTTCTACTGAGACCTTTATCTAAATATGAAGCTGTTTAAAGTGATTATGGTCTGTTATATTTTTTTGCAGGTACATATGGGGTAGTGTATAAGGGCAGGCACAAGGCCACCGGGCAGGTTGTGGCTATGAAGAAGATCCGTCTGGAGAGTGAGGAGGAGGGGGTTCCCAGCACTGCTGTCAGAGAGGTCTCTCTTCTTCAGGAGTTGAAGCATCCCAACGTTGTACGGTATGCTCACTTTGTGTGAAGTAGAGAGTGTGTTACAGCTTAAAAGTGAGAAGAAAAAATACGGTCCAAGAAATCCAGTTTGTGGACAGCTCTATGAGTGTAAAGGTTGGTCAGATCCCAAAACACTTAAGTAATTCATAATATTTTGAGAAGGGACTTTCTTATTCTGGAAATACATCACATCTGAGGTAATGGTACCTCTGTCTTGAGGGTCTAAATACAAAATCGAAGTGATTCTAGTGATCTACAAGGAAGACTTGCTGATCTTAGTAATGCCCTAGGCTATTTTTAAGGCCAACAAGTCCAAGTCCCTATTTAAATGAATAGGGGAAGAGTACCATAATTGCAATGTCAGTGGTCAGCAGGATATAATAACGAGGGGTTGACCAATTTCTACAGAGCACACAATGATTATTTATAATCAGGGTGACCAACAACCAATATTTGGGACTGATATACATTTGATAATTTCTCATGATGTGTAATCCGTCAGATAGTGCTGTGCATAGGACGTTGCTCAAAACTACGGAATGATGACGACAGACATGTGGCTGCATCAGAGCAAGAGTAGCACATTAAAAAAATTATTTATATTATCAGGAATCTGTAAAATGACTGACGACACTAAAGATCCGATAAGTGATGAAAATCGAACCAAATTAAGGCTTAAAAATGATTTTCCTCCACAAGCTATACTTGCTATTCACAGTTTCACAACACTGCATATGTCAGTGAAACAACAATAAGCTGTGTGTTTCCCTGTTCGGCTGCTATAGAATTCTCCAAATGATTTTTTTTTCATGATGTGGTGAGCCCTCTCCCTCATAATTTCTGCTGTTTATGACATGTTTTTTTTGTGTGTGTGTTTTTTTTTCTTTTTCTTTTTCCTTTGACTTGCACGTGTTTGGTTGCCCAACACAATGTGACCATATGATTAAAAACTAATCAATTAAGCTTTCATTCATGGTAACTGCTTACAGAGCTGTATCCGGCCCAAGTGTGAATGTGAGCAAATGTTACGTCTGAGTCACATCACCTGTGAGAAAATGTGTACTTGTAATATGAACCCACCAAATTCTTCTGTGTGTATACCAGGCTCCTGGATGTCCTGATGCAGGAGTCTCGTCTCTACCTCATTTTTGAATTCCTGTCCATGGACCTGAAGAAGTACCTGGACTCCATTCCCACTGGCCAGTACATGGACGCTATGGTGGTCAAGGTAACTCTCTCAGCAATTCACATTAGCTTCATCTTAGGTCTCTTTATATGTGACAGCAGTGCTACAGCTATATTAGTTGATGATTTGGATTTTAGATGGCATTATGTGATCAAATAGTCTATCTCCAGCAGGATAAAATGCTTGAACAGTAACAGCAGTCATGTACCAATGAATTTCTGGCCTCATTTGCTGACTTGTGGCAGTTTGGCTTATTTCGTCTAACTTTCTATACAACTAGACAGACAGTGTCAACACTCTGTCTGACTCCTCAGATGTAGATTTATGGTCAAAGCCTCCCATTGGCGCTTAAAGCATTGCTTTGTCCTCCCTTTCTGCTATCTGTGTTACTGTTTCCAAAATTCTCTCAACCTCCTGGCCAGCAACCTACCACACTGAGGATTTCATGTTTTGTGCATGAGTGCAGTAAGACAGAACTGCTAGTTGCACTTAACATGGTAAGGTGAACACCTTGTGAATGTTCCACCAATGTGTGGAACTGTGGGTGGGGATTTGACTGATTATCGGCCCAACCAATTGTTGAGGCTGGTATTTGACATATTTACATTTTTGGTATTGTTATTTTTATTGACCGATTATAGTGAGATATATATATATATATATTAAAAGTTCAGCTTTACTCATGAGTAACAGCCAGTCACCAAAAGCTGCTGTTTACACAGAGACACAGAGCACATTTGCAGAGTGGAGCGGCTCCCGTGAATTAACAGAGCTGTGTTTGGAAGTTGAGGTAGGAGATACTACAAAAGGTTTAATAAACACAGCAGTTTTACATAATCATTTCGAGTGTGCCTGTTTCACAGAAAACACTCAAATCATTTATTTGTAGGTGTTGCAGCTGGACCTTCCTTTATTGACGTTGGTATGCTGAGGCTGTCACTTAGAGGTTTGCTGTGCCTCTTAGCCTGCGTTTAATGCTATTTTGAGCATCATAACACCTTCCTGAACTCAGATAAACTAACACTCTGCTCTCACTGACAGACACAACTTGCAAAAACTGAACAAGAAGCACAGTTATCTCCACAAATCATGACATTGGCTGCTTTTACAGCATCTAAGGCTTTACTAACAGCTAACAGCTAAGTTAAGAGGCAGCCACAGATTACCATGAATACCATACAGCATGTGGAAACAATAAAATAGAATGCTTTAGGATCTGAGTCCTAATGGACAATAAAACTGAGGGAACAGAGAAAGATTAACAATACGGAGAAGAACAGCAGACAGAACTGCATGAGACAAACTGATCTCAATCACTTGATCTCACAGTAAACAGGAGAATGTTGTAGCATCATGTGATGCTCAAATGTCATCTTTCCTTTTTGTATTGTACAGATTCAGCTATAGTATTCATTATTACTTAGGAAGCCTAGTCGTGAATGACAGGGAACATCCCTGCTATCACGTGCTGTTGACTAATAACTTTTAATGTGTACTGGTCCAGGTATTGGTTATTGAAAAAAAACAAAACATATCAGTCAATCCTTAGTCGGGATCCGTATGCACCTACAATGGTCTGTCACACCATTACTGGGGAGACAGCTGAAGGAAATTGAGAATCATCACAACAATGACCTGGCAGTTTATTTTGTAAATATTAGACAGCCTGGCAAGTCAAGAATAGTCGGTTGACAAGCATCCTAACAGAAAAGAGTTGCAGATATACATACCCCCACTTTGGTGAAAACGGTTACAGTAAAACCAGGGTAGAAACGAGGTGCAGAGATTTGTGATTTGGACCTTTAGCCTTAAATTTAAATGACAGGTTTTGTTGAATTCATTCATACATGTCAGAACCAGAAGCCGACTCTAAGGAAGAATGATAATACAGAAAGCTTATTTTGCTAACGATGTGTTTTCCAGCACATAAATACCGAATGAATATGTTGACAAAATAAAACAATTGATTTTTACTGGAGGGATTTTTTTAAAATACATTACCTCGTGCATGAGTATGAGTTATGCCTAAGTTACATCACATAGATTTTCATTGGCAATGGCAGTGAAAACAAATCTGGGATCCCTCGCCTCAACACAAATTCATTAAACTGCATCTTTACTTACAGTTATGATTAGAAAACCCCTAGGGACACGGGAAGAATACTGTGGGTTTAATTTATTCATTTAAATGTTCATACTTTTAATTTGACTTGTTTGAGTACATGATGATCTTTAGGGCCTGGTTACACTCCCTTGCAGATGTGTACATGGACACCTGTGGAATCACAGACAGGCATTTGATGTTATTTTACTGTTTTGTAGTCCACTTTGAGGAAGCATGCCATACATACCCAGTAGATTGGCATTTATGTATTCCTGTTCTTGTGCAGTTGGCACCTTTGCAAAACATTAGAAAATATGCGAAAGTCGACACAGAGCCTCATGAATCATCCTCTGATGATAACATTTATGTCATTTGCACTTTACCAAGCCCCTCACATACTCAACGATACAGAGAGTATTATACCTGCCTTATCCCAGGAGCTTCAGTACAAAGCATTTGGATGTTTTTTTTTAGGTTCTTGAAGACGTTTCACCTCTCATCCAAGGGGCTTCTTCAGGTCTAACTGACTGAGGAAGAGTTTTAGATGTCCATGGACTCATGTTCCTCGAGCTGTGAATTGTTGTGAAACCAGATGGTCCGACAGTAATACTGGTCGTGGAGCTGCCAGTGTACTCAAGACAGGATGTGAATCTGCCATATCAGGAGTGACTCAAGATGTTAAGAATAGTGACATTTTCTGGGTAGAGATCTCATCATTTCGTTAGAGGTGCTTGATGATTGGTGCCTTAGCCTTCCTGTTCAGAGATGGCTATTGCAGTGTGATATCATGTCCTTCAGTCTTCTGCACTGGATTGCATATAGAATGCTGCTCTGCTTGTGTGTGGGTAATTTATTCATGGGATGTACTTTTTTTTTTTTTTGTTACTGCGTCTGAAGTGCACTGGTATAAAAAAACAGCTAATAAAAACTCTTGACTCTTGTATGTCGTGTTTGGAGAAAATCCTTCTGGGTTTTCCAGATAACCCAGTATAGTTGCTACTGTTTTTCCCTTTTTCTGTTTTCTGTAGTGCTGTGTTTTTCAGGTCTTTTAGTTGAATTGATGAACACCCAGTTGGGATAACCACAGTTTTTTGGTGTTTAATAATCTGTTTCTTCTCTTTTCCCTCTGTATTGGTAGGGATATTTTCAGCCCAGTTTTCAGTAGGCAGTGAGAATCAAAAAGCAGGTATTGGTCTGTGTGTCTAGGTTTTCTGCAGACTTCAATGTTGAGGCTTCCGTCCTTCTTCATGGGTAGAGCGCAGTCCAAAAAGGGCAGTTTATTGTCTTTCACATCCTCCTATGTGAACTTGATGATACTATCTACCTAATTAATGTGAAGGTTTTTACCTCCTGGGCTTTGATTTTTCAACCAGGTGTCATCCACATATCTGAACCAGTTCCCTGAAAGACCTCAATGCTTTGTTTTCCACTTCCTCCATGTAATTGTTGGCAACGATGGGTGACACTGGAGAGCCCACGGTTCATGTCTGTAGAAACCTTTATTATATTTGAAGTAAGTGATGGTCAGGCAGAGATCCAGCAGGCGCATATCTGCTTACGGAGGTTGGTTCTGTCCCTGAGGGGGCTGTCTTACAGGAGCTGTTTCTGACAGTGTCCACTGCCCCAGATGTGGGTATGCATGTAAAATCTAAGGTGAGATCAAACAAAAACCATTGTTCTATCTGAGGCCAGTTTCACCTTTTGAACCTTGCTGACAAAATCAGTGGAGTTCTGGATGTTATGAGCAGGGTTTCCAACCAGCGGTGCTAAAATCTTTGCCAGGCGTTTTGCAGTGTTGTAGGTAACGAAGTTGATGTTGCTGATGATGGGTCTGAGTGGTGCTCCTTTCTTATGTATTTTTGGAAAACCATACATGCATGATGTGTCTTCTCCAGGTATAGCCAGTTGTAAGATAGGCAGTTCATGGCTTTCTCTTGTTCCAAGCAGTCTATTCAATTCAATTTTATTTATATAGTGCCAATTCACAACATATCTCAGCACTTCCCATAGTAAGGCCTTACGAATTTTAAACAAAGAACAGAAGTTGCCTTTGGATTCCGTATGAGAAAGCAATTGGTGGCGTTGGGACAACAAAACCCTTATTGTTCTGTTTGTATTGTTTGTCTGTTCTCCATCTGCTATCCTGCTATTCTCAGGTTTGTTCAGGACAGTGCAAAAATAAGATGCACTTATAGCAAGGAAGGAAGCATTAAGTTCCTTGGTTGTCCAAATGTCAAGGCCAGTTGTAATCTTGTGTGCAGAAGCCAGTCTCTCTTTATACTTCTCCTTTTCATCCTTGTAAATACTCTAAGTCCTTGTCTTCTACTGTGCGGAGTGGAAGACCAGGACGACCTATCCACAAAGCCACAGCTCTCGCTCTTGTTTTTTGTTCTTGGATGGTACTTTAGTGTGGAAGTGAACATGTTTGGAATCGTCGTCTGTTTTGGCAGTTGTTTTTCCTTTTCACTGTCCCTTTTCTGTAGTACAGGTATAGTCTGAGTCTCTGAACTCAGAAGGGGGACAGGAAAAAAGGTGTTACTTGTATTGCCTGAATTATTTTATAAACATATCTATGTAGTACACTATAGCAATCAGATTTGCAGGCTAAAATATAAAGAACAGTCATCTCAAATAAGATTACAACCATTAACCATAACACTGGTGCTAGGGTAGCTGAGAATTTTGTAGCACAGGCCACGAAGTTTTAGAACAAGTAAAGAACATCTGGTACAAGGTCCAAACACGTGGAGTTAATCACTTTAACATACATTACTGGCAAGGGCACACAAAACTGAAAACTTAAATGTTCTTAAGATAGCTAAACATTACATATTGAGGATTAGAGCAAAATAAACTCTTATGATTGAATTTTTTTTCCCATCCAGGAATGTGTCTTTTATTATTCTAAATATGAAAAGTAAATCAGAGCACTTTTTAATTTCTGCACATCCTTTTTGACCAGAAAATAGATTTAATTAGTTTTTTTTTAAATTTCAATTTAATTATTTCAATTCAAATAGCCACGATTTTAGTACCTTTAAGTATTCTTCTTGTTTTTTTTTTTTTTTTACTCTAGTAGATTTTATTGCACTTATTGTAACATAACGTGTTGCTGTCATCTCCAGTTTTCACTTGGTCCATTGTCTCTATGTGACATACGGCTCTTTAAAACAGAGATCACAATGTTGCTGCTGTGTTTTAAACATCACAGCGCGTTTCATTTTGAGAGGTTTGAGGTGGAGCTGCAGGCTTTTAGATTCATGGAGAATCAAAACATACCTTTAGCATTTGAATTGACATTGATATCATTAATGACAAGCTGATGGAGTGATTAACGGTCGTTCTGTACTCTACAATATTTCGTACACTTGCGTTATTTCTGCACTTACTGGCTTTTAAGCTGTTAGCTAACGCTATGCTAGGTTGGCATAACTACAGTAGGGCTGGACCTGAATAGCCAAATAGCCGACTATTCGTTCGGAGTGCCGGTATCAGAATACCAATTTTGATCTCCGACTATTCGGCCTCCTGCTTCCTGCCTCCTACGTGTGCGTGAATGAGAAACCCACTGTATAGCCCTTTGTAGAACATAGTGAAGGTAAAAGGTGCTGTTTAAGTGCAGGGCACTCTTCAAACCATACTCTTCAAATTTAGATACCAGAACCTTGAGAAATCTGTAGTTTATCATATTATTTCAATATGTGGCCTTAATTAAAATAAAAAACAAACAACCAAAAAAAGAATTGTTAATGCCCAGTCTTCCTCCATATAAATGTAGTTGGGAATAATTTATTATATTTTCTCTTTACATACATGTACATACAAAATGTATATATATATACATTTTATTCATTTGTCAAAATGTTTATGAACCCTAAAAAACATTAAAACTATCAATGTTCTTTTTCACCATCTTGAGGTCACCGATACTGAAATGGGGCTTTAATTTTTAATTTTTTTGTTCATCCTCCTTTTCTCACCATTCATTTTTTTAGAGCTACCTTTACCAGATCTTGGAGGGCATTTACTTCTGTCACTGTCGCCGAGTCCTCCACCGTGACCTGAAACCCCAGAACCTCTTGATTGACAACAAGGGAGTTATCAAGCTGGCAGATTTTGGCCTGGCTCGGGCCTTTGGTGTTCCTGTCAGGGTTTACACCCATGAGGTGAGAAAACATTCACAAATCACTTTGGAACGCTGCACAGACATGGTGGTTAGCACCACCAAACAAAAAAAAACTTAAAAATAATGACAGGGCTGTGTCCTCACAGGTTGTAACTCTTTGGTACCGGGCTCCAGAGGTCCTTCTGGGTTCACCCCGATATTCAACCCCAGTAGATGTCTGGAGCACTGGGACCATCTTTGCTGAACTTGCCACCAAGAAGCCTTTGTTCCATGGAGACTCAGAGATAGACCAGCTCTTCAGGATTTTCAGGTAGACACGTATTAGAGACTTACATGTGTTTTAATTAAAGCCTCATTTGGTTGCTCAACTGAAAATGTGCACATTTATACTAGTGCGCTAGTATATCTGTGTCAGTCTGTAATTACACAGACAAAACACAGCTGTCTTCACATGCTTTGCTGAAGAAGTCACTAAAGGTCTTGTTCCAAGGATTGTTGTGGGGGGTGTTTATCAGTATAGAGTGAATGTGGGTTGGCTTACTGTCCCAGATTGGCAGGTGACCACAGTCTTAAACACAAAGTCATCAGATACCCCTTTTCCACCAAAAAGCACCAGGTGCTAGTTTCGTGCTGGTGCTAGTTCCAGTGCTTAGTTAGTTCCAATGTGGCACCTCCTAAGAACCCGTTTGCTTTTTCCATTGGCAAGGAGCCAAGTTAGAGCCACGCCATATGTCACTGCATAGGTAGCCGTTTACCGAAGAACGTTTGCGCCACATGGAAGCCCACAAAGGACTCCAGACTAACTTTTTTACTGGTGCGACCAACTTTCTAATTTGTTCTCACTTCCCACCTTCTCACAGGCAAAACATATGACTCTCTGAACATTTTCTTATCGATAGACTCTACAATTTATGCCCCACATTGCAGGCTGTGGTAGCTGCGGTTGGTGGCTGTGGTGCTCAGACCAGTGTGCGACCAAAAATGACTTTAAACAGAGTTAACAAGGGCGTTCTAATGTCAGATTTGTCCAAGATGAATCTGAGTGATTTTTTTCACATGCGGTCTTTTCTATGAGCGAAACAAACAGCGCATCTAGGTGCGCTGTGTTTTTAATGAGAAGACCACATTTCTAAGCGTAAATACCGCAGTACACCGAAGTTATAAGAGTACTGTTTTCCACCACTGTGGTGCTGTTGGTGGGACATAATTCTGTCGGCTTTCAGTGTGCAACAGTTTGTGCAAAACTTCTCCCAGGACTCATTTCAATACATCTGTGATGAGACCAGGGACATCCTGGTGAAAAACCACACAAATCACCGCTTGTGTGTCCCATTTTGTGTTTCCATCGGTCTCATTGGTCACGATAACCCCACCCCCAGCCCCTGACATACTCGGCGCTTAGTTCTGGCCCAGTAAAGGGTTGGTGCTTGCTAAGCACCAGTTCCGAGAACCTGGAGCCGGTGCTTCGGTGGTGGAAACACAAAGAACTGGTGCCCAGTCAGGCACTGGCTGAGAACTAGCGCTGAAACCAGCTTGGTGGAAAAGGAGTAAGATAGGGAGGGGATCATATGTAAATACTACTGCACCTGCTGGTTTGCTTCTTTGTAGCAAAGATTCATGCTGCACCACAGACCGTCGTAGACTTTCCTACACAGTCAACTGAGAAGACCAAACATCCAGACATCACAAAAAAATGCCTGAAACATTGTGACATTGTGTTGGAATAACATAGTTTATCAGAGGGGTGTCCTACAAAGTGAGATTAAAGGGTTAGTGAGGTATGAAGAACGTGGCTCTCTCTTAACCTGCTAAATCACTATTGTAACTAATGTACAGCTAATCTTCTCTAGAAGAGGTTATGTTTAGAATTTGGGATTTTAATCAGATGTCAACAAGCACTACTCTTTACCAGTTTTTTTTTAAAGACCATATTCTCTGAGCGATAGATTCTCACTTGAGGCAATTCAGTGTCTGCAAACTTGTTGAGCTGTAAGTTCGTAATCCCACTGAACAAAGCAATGCAGTTACAGTAGCGCAAACACTATGTACTACATTGCCATGGGAGCCTAAATGCATTCATTTAGTGATGCATAAGATACATAAAAATGCATGCATATCTGTAAAAACAAGACTCTCAACTGCACAAGGTCTGTCTACGATCAGCTTTGAGTCATATGGTTATTTAGATGGTTTATTTAGTGTGTAATTGCACTTCATTTATTCTGTGATTACAACTGCTGCCCACCTCTAACCCACATGCTGCGGCACCCTTTCAATTGCTTCCCCTTTGAATCCTACTTGTCTTTCCTTTCCAGGACCCTGGGAACCCCAAACAATGATGTGTGGCCTGATGTAGAGAGCCTACCCGACTATAAAAACACCTTCCCCAAATGGAAGTCTGGCAAACTGTCGTCAATGGTAAAAAACCTGGACAAGAATGGCCTGGATCTGCTGGCGGTAAGGACAGGGATGCACCATACAACATCTTAATTGAGATTTTTTATGAGTAAATTTTAGTTTTTGTCCTATAAAGTAAATATCATTTGTGTGTCTGCACTCAATCATGAAAAATCTGGAAAAATTATACAGGTTTTAGATCTGATTTATTTTTTTATAGAAAAGAACAACTGTATAACACTTGTCTATCATCTAATGTTCCCATACATAAAATATCTAATTTTCTTCCATGCCTTGTTTCTGTGTTGTAGAAAATGTTGACCTACAATCCTCCTAAGAGGATCTCTGCACGCGCAGCTATGTCACACCCTTACTTTGATGACTTGGACAAATCCACCCTGCCGGCTGCCAGCATCAACAAAATCTAAAACACATACTGACCTTTATACTAACACATTCATACCCTTTGTGAATTATCATATTGTAAATACTTGCGTGTATGTGTGTGGAAAATTGCGCACCCGAAGTTAAGCTTCAATGTATTTTCAATAAAACTGCACTTTGTGTGATTTTCAAAACGATTGTTTTTTTTTTTTTCTCCAACATTTCCTTGAAAATAGAAGATTTGACAGAATTACAATTACATGAAAATGCCGTTTAATTTCCATATATATATATATATATATATATATATATAGACACACACGTGTATATATAAATTCTTCATGTCCAGATTGAGGTTTAACTTAAGGTTTTTGAATCAACTGTCATTTAATAAAGTGTACTACAAGCTACAAGATGAAACCTCCCAGTGAGCACCAAATGGGATTTTAACATTGCTGTCTAGTGGGTGATATCTGGTCGACTTGGTGGTTCGCACCGTTGCCTCGCAGCAAGAAGTTTGCCGGTTTGCATCCCGGTGGGGACACTGGGATCTTTTTGTGTGGAGTCTCCATGTTCTCCCCGTGCAGCGTAGGTTGTCTCCGGGTTCTCCGGCTTACGCCCACAGTCTGAAAACATGTTGGAAATTGTCCGTAGGTGTGAGTGTGCTTGGTTGTCTGTCTCTGTGGAGCCCTGTGATAGACTGGTTACCTGTCTAGGGTGTCCCCTGCCTTCACCCTGAGCCAGCTGGGATAGGCTCCAGCTCCCTTAGCCACCTTAGTGAGGATTAAGCGGTGTATAGATAATGGATGGATGTTGTTTTCAATACATTGCCTGCTCACAACTTTTGGTCTCTTGTTCCTATTTCTTCTTGCAGATGTGTGATGTCGTGATAATTTAGAGTTCTACAAACAAGATAACATGCCAGAGAGAAACTTAAAACTGTTTATGCTGCAGTGCAGGAGTATAGCAGGTTACAGATTTTCAAGCCCCATCTGAACAGCAATGTCCAAGACCGATCCATTCATCATCACATTCACACCTACGGACAATTAACAATCCCCAACATGTTTCTGGACTGTGGGAGGAAGCTTGCGACCCTGGAGAGAACCCACGCTGAACGGGGAGAACATGCAAACTCCACACAGAAAGATCCTGGCGACCTTCTAGCTGTGAGGCAACAGTGCTAGCCACCGAGTCACCTTGCAGCCCCATAACCAAGATGTCTCTTTAAAATTCATTGCCATGACTTTCAGAAAATGATATTCGGCCCATACATTCAGCATGACTTCGTTGAATGTCTAAATCTCTCTTATAGCTCTTGGAGTGTGCCATGCAGTGTCACTACTTCACAACAAAGTCCCCTTATTTATTCTGATGACCATTATTACATCTCTTTTGATCAAAATTTAGAACACTGTCATGCCTTATATAAACTCTGAATAAAATATTTAAAGAATATATATATTTTAAAGAATTAAAAAATAAACAAAGAAATGACAGAATTAAATTTGGTAACAAAGGAGCAGGTCCAAGTACGGCCAAAGCTATACATTTTACAAATTTACACAATGAAAACACTTCATTGTAATCACAAATCCTCCTGTTATTTTTAGTATTTGGGAAGCCACAAATACACACATGGGCAAAACTGTTGGTACCCCTCAGTTAATGAAAGAAAAACCCACAATGGTCACAGAAATAACTTGAATCTGACAAAAGTAATAATAAATAAATAAAGTCTATGAAAATAAAGCAATGAAAATCAGACATTGCTTTTGAACCATGGTTTAACAGAATTAAAAAAAAATAAAACTCATGAAACAGGCCTGGACAAAAAGCCAAGGAGAGAGTTGTCTCAGGAGATTAGAAAGAAAACTATAGACAAGCATGTTAAAGGTAAAGGCTCTAAGACCATCTCCAAGCAGCTTGATGTTCCTGTGACTACAGTTGCACATATTATTCACAAATTTAAGATCCATGGGACTGTAGCCAACCTCCCTGGACGTGGCCGCAGGAGGAAAACTGATGACAAATCGAAGAGATGGATAATACGAATGGTAACAAAAGAGCCCAGAACAACCTCTAAAGACATTAAAGGTGAACTCCACGGTCAAACACATGCCGAAACATGCCGTCTGGAGAAGGCACCCTTCAAACCTGAGACAACTGGAGCAGTCTTTTCATGAGGAGTGGGCCAAAATACCTGCTGAGAGGTACAGAAGACTCATTGACAGTTACAGAAATCATTTGATTACAGTGATTGCCTCAAAAGGTTGTGGAACAAAATATTAAGTTAAGGGAACCACCATTTTTGTCCAGGCCTGTTTCATGAGTTTATTTTGTAAAATAATTCTGTTAAACCACGGTTCAAAAGCAATGTCTGATTTTCATCGGTTAACTTTCAAAGAATTTTTATTTCTTATTACTTCTGTCAGATTCAAGTTATTTCTGTGACCATTGTGGGTTTTTCTTTCATTAACAGAGGGGTACCAACAATTTTGTCCATGTGTGTAGCTGTGATCCACTTCATTTTAAGGGGAAGATGAATGAATCAACCATAACAATCCATTCATTTGAGATGTTTCACACAAAAAACATGTAAGCCTGCTGTTGGTGCTGCATGGGCTGGAAGAAATTGTTTGTATTGTATTGTATTTTTTTTCAAATATAAAAGCAATGCATGGACATGCCCTGTCAGCCAGGGACTACTGAGGTTGAATCGAGCTCTAATCCTGAAACAATTCATTAATTCTCTGAACAGCTTCAGTGGTTTTGAAAATGAAGTAGCCGGTTCAAACACCTAAGGATATAGTAAAATTTGACTGTATACATTAAATGTTATTTACACAGCTTTAATTCACAACATATGTCATCTCATAGCACCTGACACAGTAAAGTGAAGTAAATCTGCCTTGACTGGTTGGGTGAGAGTGTGGATAGCAAGACAGCAGGTGCAATAGACAAACAATACAAAGACAACAATGAACATTCATAAAGACATAAAATGACAGACATTTGTGTGACTTGACAGCAGCTTTTAATAGAAACTTTAAAAAATATTAGAACAGTAATAACAAGTACAAAACATCTGGGGCACTAGGTTCTGCTGATCGTAAAGTAGTAGAATGAGTCATTCTTTAGACTTCAAACATCCACTTTAACCAGCCTCTGCATTCTAAAGTGACAAAAATAAAAAAAATGAATGAAAGTCAAGCTAGTTAGTCTAACTTGTTTCTGAAATGTCCTACTGAATGTAACTATTGCAAACGATGAAATAAAATGATATTTTAGTGCCTATGTGTGTGAAGGCTTACCAGTAGCTGCTACAGTGTCTGTCAAGTGAGGCACCTGTGAAAGCTGCAGACGCTTGGGGGTCTGGCACAATCCAGCTTTTCTTCTGGAGTCATTTATAAAGCACACTGTACAAACTAATGTTTTCTTTGGGGACAATACAACTTTATTTATTTCATGCCTCACTGATAAATCACTCACAACCTAACAGAGGTCCTTGTGGTGTTAGAATACAGGGCTGCTGTTTCAGGTTGAACACGTGTTTGGCCCTGGGATGTCCTGTGGTTTTCCACGTTGCGCTCCACCTCAGCCTGCAACCCTACACAGGATAACAGGATATAATGGATGGTTGGTTTTGCACAAACTTTCTGCCAAAATATATTTGTTGAAGTATTTACATACTAAGGCCCTCCACTTCCTGTGGGTTGAAATAGTATAGTTGTAAGTTTCAGAGTGGATATTCACCTTGACTTCTGTTTGGTCAAACCTCCCTGTAAATGCCTTCGTCACCATCATCCAGCAGGAACTCACTGATCTCGTCTCTCATCTGAGCCCTACAGAAGACAACACAAGTCAGTCCAGTCACATTTCTGTTGTCTAGCATTTGAGTTTCTGTGGCTCAAATACTTCATGTCCAGATTCAGGTTTAAGTTAAGGTTTTTGAATCAACTGTCATTTAATAAAGTGGACTACAAGCTGCAAGATGGAAGCTCCCAGTGAGCACCAAATGGGATTTCAACATTGCTTTCAAGTGGGTGATACCTGGTCTAAGACCTCTTTCATCCTGTCTGTTTTCAACCTTCTAAAATACAGCTACAACATCAGTGTGTTCAGTTATTTAGATAATTTGTCATATTATACGGGGGAGGCGATGCTTTGAAAAACTACATTTCAAAGCATTTGATGTTCCACATAAAATGCCGTAAATATGGAGCTCTACAGACTGTTTCCAGTAAGAAGCTTCCAGAACATCATAACAGGAACAGGTATATCCATGATGTAAACTCACCAATTGCGCTTACTGCTGTAATAAGCATTACACACAACCACAAGCACTGGGAGACAAATGTGGGAGCCACAGAGCCAAAACTACTACCTAATGGTTTGCTGACCAGGATACTGCTGTGCTTGATTGGCGGCTGACTCACCTGACCTGAACCCCCTAGAACCACATATGAGGTATTGTCAGGGTGCGTTGATGCAGTAATTTGTGGTAAAGGAGCTCCAACCAAGCATTGAGGGTATAAATGAATATACTTCGTAGAAGTAGGACACTTCTGTGTTGTAAATCCTTTTTCTAATTGATCTTAGGAAATGTTCTAATGATTTGAGATACTGTAGCATAGTTATCAAAAGACAACAAAAAAAGGCTTGAAATATTTAATGTAATGTATGTACAAAATATACAAGATTGCCTTTTTGAATGAAATTATGTAAAAAACAAAACAAACATTTTCATGATATTCTAATAGCTGAGATGCAACTGTAAATCTGTGGGATTAGTTTCTTCTTTGCATCAGCTGCTTAGAAAAGTAGCGTAGGATGCAGATTAGCAAGATTAATGTTGATACGATTCCTGACTGGACCATCATTTTATCATTCTTATTGCTCTCCCTTGTTACAGCATTTTCTTGTAGGCTACAAAATGACAATGCTCTGTTATTTGCACATTAGAAGAAAATTTAGATGAAAAACTAGACGATAATTTTGACAAATCCTGGTGAAATATGAACGTTTAATCAACCATTTCAAACAGTCTGTAAAAAATGTCAGAAAAATACCCATTAGGTGGTTAAGTAGGCATCAGAGGCCAATGAAAAAGTGACAATGATATGATGGATAATTTGAACAAAATACTACATTTGGTAGTTTTAATACAACAGTTGTTTGGCATACACAGTCAATGTGAAATATGAGAAAATCACTACTGCGTGCTTTATAAACTGATAACAATAGTAATGTAAAGTTCATGGACTCAAACAAAACAAAAATGAAAACTGATCTTTAAAGTCAATCAAATATTCTGCTCACCTCCTTTGTCTCCTCTGAGCCTCTGACAAGATGTACAGAGGGAGATGGTCCACTGATGACTACAAGAAAACAGAAAACAGGTGAAAATATCCATTTGAAGATTGAGATTTGTTTACATTTTGATTATACAGCTACCAAGAAATACAATGTTTAGATTCAATTTGCAAGTCATGACACATTGAAAAGCTCTAGTCTGGGCAGTTGTAGGTGGACATGACGTAACCGAGACCAAAGAGGCTCCATCTGAACTGGAGGCCCGGGTCAGGCCCAGCTCACTCTGCACACCACCTGTGTGACTGGAGACCTCTGCTGATCTCACATTGTAAGTTTTGCTTGTGTAAGTCAGTTTTAGTTACAGTTATTTCTTTGTAGCGTTAACATTTATTTACAACCAGGTCCCCAAATATTTGGACATTGACACAATTTACTACATTTTGGCTCTGTACACCACTACAATGGATATGAAACGAAACAATCAAGATGTGCTTTAAGTGCAGATTCTCACCTTTAATTTGAGGGTATTTACATCCAAATCAGGTGATCGGTGTAGGAATTACAACATATTTTATATGTGCCCTACACCTTTATAAGGGACCAAAAGTAATTGGACAATTGGCTGCTCAGCTGTTCCATGGCCAGGTGTGTGTTATTCCCTCATTATTTCATTTACAAGCACCAGATATGAGGTCTAGAGATCCTGTAACTACAAATATTTTAAAAGTCAAAAGACACGGCTGAACGACTCTTCTGTCTAGTCCTCATCCTTTAACTACGTATGAGTGTCGAGGTTCTTGAACTAAACCTTTCCATCACAAAAGTAGTTTTTTTTTTTTTTATAACATCCACTCAGCATGTTGATGTGCAGCTGTTCTTACTCACCATGTCTCTGATGGTCAGCTGACAGCTGTAACACAACAGACTCTTCAGATCAGTCGTCTCCCTGGAATGTAACGATAACAGAACATTTAGACTCATCTCCCTACTTACACAACTCTGCACTACTATGAAGATGATGACACAACACATAGTAGGATTTCTTCAGTAATATGACAGGACTTGCTAATCAGATTTGTTTACAGCCACATCCCAGAAATACCAGAAATGACAGGAAGAGAGTGGGCACTAACAGAGCACTGCCACCAGCCACAGCTGTGCCTTGTGTAGTGTTCTAACTGATCACGTTAAGATACTGAACATGGTCAGCATTATAGTTACAAAACCTCGGCATGTTGGCATGTAGCCCAGAGAACCCCGGAGCCTAATCTACAACAGGCACCTGAAGCATAACCCAGGCTACCAACAGTGAGTGAGTGACCAGGGCTTCAGATGGTCAATGTAGACTGGAGTACTGGAACTAACTGTCTACTCAGGACCTCTGCCTCACATGTCACCATTTCATGGCCTCTGCACAGTTTACCATTTTATATTTAATAAATAAAGGGAATTAAGTTAATTATTTGATACACACTTAAAAGGAGGCCAAAAATCCTCAGTCCTATTCAGAATAATATCTTTGGAATTTGTTTGTTGACATCACTTTACATGTTAAGCGCCACTGATAGTTCCTGATTAGATGACAATATCGGATAACTAACTGCCAAAATTAGGAGAAATAAACCCTGTGAATAAACCAACACTTACGTAGTCAAAGAACAGCAGCCTCCACCACTTGTTGCTCTTCCACAATCCTCGCCTCCTGCAGAAGAACAGCACTGTCCAGTTGAAGCAGCTGATTCAGGCTTCACTGGACCTTTAACCAAAGAAATTATCAACTGAAAGTGTATGTCTTAAAAGAAGCTTTAATGCTATTTTTGTTCACGCTTCTGAACTTTCTCATTTGACATAGGGCTCTAAAAAGTTTTAAAAAATAACAAAAAAAAAAAACAACAAAAAAACACCATAACATTGAGATAAAGGCTATAAGAAATATTGACAGCATGAGTAGAGGTGATATGTGTTCAATGATAGTATAATGTACCTGGGCTTTGTCCTGGATTCCTACATCCAAGAGATTTAGTCTGGGAGAGCTGCTCTGAGATCAGTGTGGCCTGAAAGGCTGAGGCCTTCTCTGAAAAAAGGAGAAAAGGCAGCAGGGAGGGAAGAAGGAAGCAGAAAGAAGAACAAACTTCATTGAAATGGGGTAAAGATACTCCTATCTGCTCCAGCTAACCAGAGGACGCTCACAGGAAAAGGGGAAAACCTGATTTGTAAACTGTTAAGTTTCAAGAAGAAAGGTCCAGTGGTTTGAAGATAAAGAATTTCCTCTATCCAGGAAAGATAGTTTCCTTGTCTATAGAAAAGCGATCCACAGGACATGAACTGCTTATTACTCAACAAGAACAACCCCAGGATTCTTTTCAGCACTGCAGCAGGCTGACAAAGAGTCACCGCTCAGTGGAGCCGTGTGTTCTTTTAGCCCACAGTAGTGAAGATTTTATGACGTTCTTCACTGATAAAGTTTTGAATACTAGACAAAAAATTATGAACATGTCTTTAGGTGCAGCAGCTCTGGATGCATCCATAGGACCAGATTTATACTTAGACTGCTTCTCTGCTGTAAATCTCTCAGAGCTCACGTCGATAAGAAATTCTTCTAAACCAGCAACATGTCTGTTAGATCACATCCCAACTAGAATATTGCAGAAGCATACTCTCATACTGAAAACTGTAGAAAAATGTAACCTTCAGCTCAACTCAAATGAACTGTTGGCAAAAGGGGGATGTACAAAGTATTAACATCAAGGGTGCTAATAACTGTGGCACACATGATTTGATGTAAAAGAATTATTTTTTAATGTGGGATTTTTTTCACACTGAATAAATGCACTTGAATTAAAGGTTGGATTTTCCTCTTTTTTTCATTGTGGTCCTATATTATTTAGAAAAAACTGAATTTACCAGAAGCTAAAGAACACATCTTAACCAGGGGCGCCAATAATTATGGATGGCGCTGTATGTTGTTGATATATATCGTTACCTGCCTCATCTTTGAGTGGTCAGAATCTGTTGGCTTATCGGTGTATGCTTCCTCGAACACTTCTTGTACTTTCATTATGATAGCCATTAGCTGCTTGCCACACTCACCAACAGCAGTATCCAGGGTGCACACGCACAGCAGACATCTGTCACTGTGGTCGGCGCTGGACGAGCTCCTACATGCTGTCTGCAGCTTCTCACTGGTCCTACACGACACATAAGCAGGCTTAAAAAACTTATAGTGAGCTTCCAGAACAGGTTGATGTGTCTAAAAAAAGACTAGGTCAACTACATTTTGCTCATAGTTAGAAAAAAACAAGCTGTCCCAAATGTTTTGTTTCCAGGATGTCCAGCATCCATTAATTACGGATTATATGTCCAGTCCTTTCTAAATTGTCCGTAGGTGTGACAAGTGTAGCCCTGTGACAGACTGGTGACCTGTCCAGGGTGTCCTCTGCCTTCGCCCTAAGTCGGCTGGGATAGGCTCCAGCCCCCCCGCGACCCTAATGAGGATTAAGCGGTGTATAGAAAATGGATGGATGGATGTCCAGTCCTTGGTGCAGTGTGCACTACACATGCTTATGTACATGTTTGTGGTTACCCACTGACCTGTAGATGGTGCTGACGGTAGAGGGGAAGTCTGTCTGCAGCTTGGTGACAAAGCTCTCTGTCAGACGTTGGATACTGGCCTTTTCAGATGTCTGTGGACAGACAGTCACACACTGTACACAACAGTCTGGGGATGCATGCATTGACAGGGGCATATTCACAAACTCATAAGGTTTTATTAAACCAGCAGTGCCTTCTGGTGCCATAAACGACAACGTTCCTTTCTAGCTCACAGTGACGTTCATGTATCTTGTGTGTTTTTAGAAGTATGTGTTCTGTTTTATGTGTTGCCATGCAGCTTACTTTTGCTCTTGTCTAAAAGAAATATCTCCCACGGGAGACAATGAAGTAAACCTTGGCCTTGACCTTGCTAAGTTTTAAAGTATCTAAGTGAGGAGAAATGTGAAGCAGCAAGATCAAGGGCTCGACTCTGAGGTTAGGCAGTCAAAAGACATGCAACCTTTTACACAATTAAACATGTTAGTCTCATGTTTAAACTAATTCCACTGATCACTTCTGCTAGAAGTCACAACTGCAGTGTTACTAATTGTGACCTGAAACATTTCTGTATTACTTCAGATGTTACAAGTTAGAAGGCTGAAGTGAATGAGATCAGACTGCTGTGGAACAAGGTACAATACAAATGTTGGACAGTTTCAGACTTCTAAGTTCACTGTAATAATTATCTCAATTATAATCTTTTTAGCACAGAGAAAATAAAATCAGTGTAGTACCACATGTAGTACTGAAACACTGAATACATTCTTCTCCTCATCCTCATCGTTTCATTTTCCTCTCATGTCAACTGTGTGAATAAGTAAATGCATATCCAATGAAAACGCTCAGGTACAACAGGTTCCAAATTAATCAGTGATGCAACAAGTGAGAAACAGATAACGGTCTTCTTCCTTGCAATTATAACATCTTCTTACTTTTTCATCCACTTTCATAGACTTTTTGTGTAGATCTGACGTCATGCCTGAAACATGAAACACCTGTGTCTAAATGACAAAAGCTATCACTCTGACAGACGGATGGATCCAGCGATGTTCTATATTTGGTGTCTGAAAGGCACCTGCTGGACTTTTGCTGGAAAGATGCTAAAAACTGGCAGTTCAGTCAGCATCCACTCTAAAATCAAGGGTAAGTAGTGAATGTTTATTACAACCTCATATAGAGTCTGACTTGAATTTTGCTTCATGAGACAAGCATCAAGAGGTGAACCTTTCAAGAAAACTGTGGGATGTGCTACCTTGATTGACACAATCTAATTTACATGAGAAGTTAAAATTTTGGTTTCTTTGGCTCCAGTTGGTGCCAGAACAACGAACTTAGAGCTTCAAAAAGAAGTCCCTGATACTCTTATGGTATATGTAGTGGTTTCATTATGACGATATACCAGTCATATATACACAACAGTTGATATGGTTTATTTCAGCATCTTTCAGCGTTTGGAAAAGCGCTTTATAAGTAAAATGTATTATTATTATTGTTGTTGCTCTAAAATGTTACCTAATAGGCTTTAATATAAGAAGGTCATAAACAAATATTTTTCCTTTTCTAATATTAAGACGATCTGGGGTCTATATTCTGTTGTTACACCATTGTCTGGTTTATTCTGCTGCTAGCTGATCTTACCTTAGTGTCCAGACTTGCAACGACAACAGCGGGCACGTTGAACATATGGTTGTAGAAAGCTATTTCTTTAGCGGAGTAGTCCCTCATTGGCCTCACTGATATTATGTTACCATATCTAGAATCAGAGAACCCCTGTAAACACAAACACACAAATAAATTAACATTATTTATTTAATTCTGATTTGCCTTTCTTCAAACTGTTTTTATCACCAGATCAAAAGAGGAGACATTCTGGATTTATATAAGAATTTATTTTTTTTTCCCTGTCTTCCCTATGCAGATTTGTGCTTCTCTTATTTCCTTCTCCTAACAGACACACACTCACCGTGTCCTGAGCCAGCTGTGCTCCTCTGCCCAGCGATATACTGGTGAGCAGCTTAATAGCCAGTCTGGTGCAGTTGTCTCCCAGCATCAGTTTACTGTAGCCTTCAGTGCGAGCTGTGTGGACCAGCAGATGCTGCCTGTGAGGACAACACAGTGGGTCAGAATGGTTTGAGAGACTGCAAATCTAACATTCAAGGATTCAAGGTCTTTTATTGGTCACAAACACAGTTATACATGGTATAACGCGCAGTCAAATAAGTTGTGTACCTGTTCCACACCGAAACAATAACAATAAGATAAATAAGAATAAGGAATAAAACACACAAGAAGTAAAATTATATATGTATATATATACCAGACAATTTCCCTGAGGTAACCTACCAAAGGAATTAATAAAGTTCTATCTATCTATCTATCTATCTATCTATCTATCTATCTATCTATGTAAAATATGTGATTGCATAACTATTCATCCCCTCTACAGTCATTCACTGAATTCAACAAAGATCATTCTACTGGAGCTAGAAGTCACACAAGAAGTGGAAATGAGACCATCTGAGGTCAGTGAATGTGTCTCAAGGGATGGTAGTATAAAGACACCTTTCTGAAAGGTCCAGTCATTAGTGAATCAGTACTTCTGGCTATCGCTACATTATGAAGACAAAAGAACACTTCAAGGACTCTGTGAGAAGGTTCTTCAAAAGCACAAGTCAGGAGATGGATAAAAGAAAATTTCCAAGTCATTAAATAACCCTTGGAGTCCAGTTAAATCCATCAATAAGAAATGGGAGGAATATGGCACATGCATAAATCTGCCAAGAGCAGGTTGTTCTCAAAAACTGTGTGACTGTGCAAGAAAGAGACTAATGAGGGAGGCCACCGAGACACCTATGTGTGGCTGCGGCTCAGGTGATAAAGCAGGTTGTCTCCTAATCACAAGGTTACCACCATGCCCTCTGTGAAGCATGGTGGTGGCAGCGTCATGATCCTTCTCTGCAGCAGCCCTGGAAGGCTTGTTAAGTTTGACGGTAGAATGAATGTAGCGAAGCTAAGGGTCAGCCAGAAGGTCAACCTGATGTAGTTTGCAAGAGAACTGTGACTTGGAAGGTTTGTGTTTTCGCTAGACAATAACCTGAAGCAAAACTGGTTTAAAGACAGTAAGGTGAATGTTCTGGAAGCCCAGTCAGACTCCAGACCTCAATTCAACTGAGAATTTGTGGCTGGATTTGAAGGGGGTGTTCACGCAATTACAGTGGAAATCTTCCAAGGGTGGCGCAGTTGGTAGCACTGTTGCCTCGCAGCTAGAAGGTCGCCAGCTCGTGTCCCGGTGGGAGCACCGGGATCTTTCTGTGTGGAGTTTGCATGTTCTCCCCGTGATCTCTCTCCGGGTTTTTCCTCCCACAGTCCAAAAACATGTTGAGGTTAATTGGTGATTCTAAATTGTCTGTAGGTGTGAATGTGAGTGTGCTTGGTTGTCTGTCTCTAAGTGTAGCCCTGTGATAGACTGGTTACCTGTCCAGGGTGTCCCCTGCCTTCGCCCTAAGTCAACTGGGATAGACTCCCAGCTCCCGCGACCCTAATGAGGATTAAGCGCTGTATTGATAATGGGTGGATGGAATGAATGGATGGTGTGAATACTTTTTAGAGGCATTGTGCTAAGTTTTATCTGCATCCCCACCATTTATCTCTTTTTAAATACAAGCTCTTGCAATCATTTGGTTTTAATTCAGGAAACAGTGGATAATGTTTGCTGTGGAAAAACACACCACTTAGAAAATGGCGACTAGGGCTGCCTGAAGCCTGCATGTAACAAAATGAATGACAAATGAATGGAATTGGTCTGCTCTTACATAGCGCTCCACTACCTTAGCTTCTCATCCACCCGTCCACACACACAGTAACACACCACTGGTTGCAGAGCTTCAATGCCAGATGCTGCCGCCATCAGGAACAACTTTGTGTTCAGGGTCTTGTCCGAGGACACTTCAACATGTTGAGGGGCACAGAACTGAACCGGCAACCTTGTGGTTAGTGAACCAGCCCTCTCCTCACTTGAGCAACAGCCGCCCTAAAATGTCTCTAATGTTTCATTTTCAATTGTTTCATCACGCATGACAAAACAATAAAGGACATATAGTATTCCAGATGAACATATCTGGCTAAACTTAAAATTACAGAAATAACATCAAGCCTGATGGAAGAAAGGTGCTGTAGAAGTGAGAATGTAGACTGTAGACTGAGAGCTACCCGCTCTGTCTGACCTTAACGTGTTGAGCAGGTCTTCTCTGGCTGTCAGTGTCTTAGCAGAGCCCATTAGCTGCTGCAGTAACTGTGTGTGGGACTTCTGAACATCAGGCAGTGACTTCTCCTCCCGCTCCTGTGGTGGCAGATAGTCGCTGCTGCTGGTCTGATTGAAGCGATCCACAGCTGCTTTGTAGGCGCTGGGCGGTGGCTCTAACGGTGACAGGGCCGTCTCCACAACTGAACTGGGAAGGTCCAGAACCTTAGAGGAGGTTGGAGGACAAATTTAATAAGCTTGGTCTAAAAAACATAGTCTGGCATCGTCATCTTTTTGTCTGTTTCCGCATTCAGTCTAGACTGTTTGAAGTGTCACCAGTTCAGCTTTATCAGATTGCTTGTGACTTTAACATAAACAGGCATTTATCCAGAGATAAGACTGGCATGCTAAACTGCTGTCACATTTTGGCACGAGTTTAAAAGGGGCTTTTTCAACCTGAATTTACTGAACTTAAAGATTAAAGTGGTCTAACAGACTGCTACTTTTGGTAGACCCCTCCTGCATCTACACTGACCTGTTCAAGAGGCAGGATGAGGAAGGGGAAGCCGGTAGCTTTGAACACCGCCTGCAACTCTGACACCTTCCTCTGTCTCTCCTCCGCAGACTGACCGACAGCACCACCCTCTGGGATCAAAGACACACCCCAACCGTACAAGAAGTTTTAGTCAGGATCATTTCACAACAATGACGAAGTTCTCCAGACAAAAATAATTACACTCTGTTGAAGAGTCATTTTATTTACCATCAATGTGAACAATGCCAGGCGAGAATCTCAACTTCTTGTGAGCCTTCTGACTTAAACCCTGGGAGGAAGAAAAGATTTTAATTTCATATTGAAATTTCATGTGTAATAATTTATTATCATGTGTAATATTACTTTACTACCTCAGAATCATTGCCAGTAATACTTATGACTTTTACATTCTATTCTTATTTTAGCTGACTTTTCATTAATGTATAATGCTTATATCTTATTGCTTTTGTATTTTTAGTCACTCCATATCTGGCAGAAAGCAAAAGCAAAATAGATCATGATGAAAACATCACTAATGGAATGCTTACTGGAACTTTGCACAGGTTCTTGGTGTTAGAAAATGTATTCTTTATTTTAATTGCTAAACTTCTTTCACTGTTTAAAATGTATGCATGTTGTTTTTCAATCTAGACTGATTATGATACAAAACAGGAAAAGAATGAAGTTTTCACAGGAGTGCTGCAGGTAGGACACAGTCAGGAGAACAAACCCCAACAAATCCTACTGTTTAGGGTGTATGGTTAGAAAATCAGGTTTACCAAAAGGATTACCAAGAATCATCGGTCCATTGAATTTAATCTGCTCATACCGTTCTCTTTTTTAAAACTCTGATAAGCTGCTGTCTGTCTGCCCGTCCCGTCTGCACCATCTTCATTCTGATTCATGGCTGCAGCAGTTCACTCTTTTCCTTACTTGCCAGGCTGCCTAATTTCTCTCCATCAGGTTTGTGACTTTGTTTGATTAGAAAAACTGATCAATTATTAATATCTGTACACTACATGTTTGCTTGTGCAGCGTGGGTTCTCACTGGGTCCTAGTGGTCTTAGTGGCCTGCTCCCTGTCAGCATCACACATGCATGAGTGCTAACACAACTCTCATCTGTAATGACCCCAGTCATCTGATATGCCAGCTCTGTGTCGCCTCCCCTCAGCCTGTGTGTGAAATGATGCTCAAACAGGTGGAGTTCTGCGATTAGTAGCCTTTTTAAACTGAAGCAGACATCTTCTTCCCCTTTCTCAGCTTAGATGATGATTTTAGTTAAGGAGAGAAAGTAGAATTTCAATTTTTTAAATTAAAAACACTTAGATAAGTGAATATAAGCTCATAGCAGTTTAGTAGGAGTGAGAAGCCCTGTTTTGCATGTGTTTTTTCATGGTCCTTTGTTTAAACTCTGTTTAGGTGATGGTTGGTTTTTATTGTTGTGCCCCTGACAGTAAGCTAGGTATCACGTTTGCAACAACAAAACAGCTGAACTCAACAAAGAGACTGATGGACTGAGAGACAAACAAGCACACCTCTTGGACTTGACTGAGCATTGAACAGGAAGAAGGACCCCCAGATACAGCCAGCAGCACCTACAACCAGAGGAGGCACGCACAGTCATGGAGCTGTTGTGGATATTTACATCACACCATTTCAGTACATGCAAATGATTCTGTGTGTAGACGTCACTCAGAAAATGAAGTGGAATAAAATGAGTTTGATCATGTTGTGTTAGGTGAGATCATCAGTCATTATTCAGAGTATGAACTGGACAGATAAAGCCACAGCTTACCTTCTCCCCAGGAAAAATAACTCTGTTTTTGCCCAGCATGGCTCTGAACTTGTGAATGAAATACTCCTTGAAACAGCTCCTGATACAGACAGACAGACAAATGATTTTGGCAAAGGCAGTAAACATACTACGTTTCCTCAAACCATGCAAACATTTAACAACACATGTAACAACTCACATGATTCTAGCATGGACCCATGTAGAACCTTTTTCTATTGTGAACACTTGTAATATTAGAACAGATATGGGATAGCTTTAATATATGGACAGGGCACATGAATGTTTACACTGCGAGTTATCTAATAAAGGCGCTTTTCTCACCTGAAGAGAATACAAAGCTTTTATTAGAGACAGGACTTTATCCCTCTGTGCCTTCGTTTAATAAACGTATTTAATGATAGGTTAAAAAGGAACCCCCCCGTTGTCTGATCAGATATGCCTCTTTTCACCCCTTTCATTTACTGTGAATTTCCAGTCACTTCTTCTTTGTCATTTCTGTAACTCTGATCTACAGTCAGTCAAACTCAACCCAAATGTTTCACACTGAAAACATTCCAGCAGCTCAGTTATCATACGTCCTTTGATTGTTAAGGATCTGTAGATGAGTCAAGCTAGGAACAGCTCAGCAGCAATCAATAAAAGTATTGGGATTAGTGAAAATGACAGCTATTTCACAGCCTCTAATACTATGCGTACTAAGCCACCACAAATAACCTCTCATTGTAAGGTTTAACATTGTCTAACTCGCTGTTGGTGAGTCTTACCTGCAGTATGTGTCTCCTGCTCTGATGACCACAGCTGCCGATGCCTCTTTGCATTTGACACATTTCTTAGAAACACTAATAAACAGAAGAACAGCAAACATGTTAAAGGCCCATGTGCATGGATTCACATTTACTGACATATTCATGTGCTCTCATTTACACTACAAAAACTGACTAATTAAGGTTTAAATATTAGGTGTATACTAGAGAGTCACAATAGCTACAGTGGTGTTTTAAAGTTGGTGAATCCTTTGGAATGTTCAATACTTCTGCAGAAATATGACCTAAAACATCATCAGATTTTCACACAAGACTTAAAAGCAGAAAAAGAGAATCCAATTAAACAAATGAGGCGAAATATTACAATTGGTTATTTATATATTATGAACACAGCCCTGTGCGATATCACATAAATGTTTAGTAATCCAAAATGAAATCATCTCTCAATAATTGTATTTTTTAAAAAGTTATTCTAAAGTATTTCAAGTACAATGTTTCAACAAACAACAAATACCTTTGAAAGAAAATACTGAGAATACAGGCCGCTACCAATAAACTCAGTGCAAAAAAAGTGAATGCACCGGTGGTCACTAGTATACAAGTGAATGCACCTCCCATCAGCGTAACTGTATGAACATGGCTATAAAATGAGCTGTGAACACCAGAACTTTGTCAGTTTTGGACCTATAGGTTGTGTTTAAATGCATGTCTGTATCATGGCAAAAGCTGTTGGGGAGACATTTACAGATGGAAAGATGAATGCCAAAATACTGGTAGACAAGACGACTCCCAGTCTGTAGAAGGTTTGAAGAAGTGGAATAATGTTGCAGTTTGTACACAGTCTGCTATAGTTTTAAGTACAACAGGGTAGCCATGAAAATGCTGCACAGGCAATCTGTGATCTCTGTTCATTCATTTTACATGAATGCTCCTGTAACTCTGCATCAGACCAGTCTGGCACTGTACACAAATCATGAGACCAAACCTGTTCCTCTCAAACTACGTAATAAAGGCAAACCACTGATAAAAAGGCAATACAATAGTGTGGTGTAATAGTATAGAGGGCAGCAGCTTTTATCAATGATCTGTCAGATATTCAGACTGTTGGGCTGAAACTTCTGTACATGTTCATTTAAAAATCCTCACAGTCTTTAGCAGAATGTTTGTGTTACTAAATACTTAAAGAATCAATGAGCCCAGTGACAATACACTAGAACTACTGCAGTTTATTCATCCGTATTTACTGATTCTCACCGTCTGAAAAACGTCAACCACACATGTAGAATAAAGCTTCAAAATACTTATGTATAAAGATCAAAATCTCTGTAAATCAACTAATGAAAAGTTTCTCTGAAACGTCATATTTTTGGTCAACATCTCAACAAATCAGCTGTTAGATCAGCTGAGCGTCACACGTTTCCCATCATGCCTTGAGGCCGCTGGAGAGCACCCGTCCTGATCTGACGATACTATCGCTGCTCACGTCAGAGCAGGTCCGGATCAACCGTAACCGAACCGGCTGCTGAGACCAGATCACCTCCAACCAGCCTGACATGTGACAGCTTACCTGGGCCCGTCCGCGCGCTCCAGCTCCTCCTGATATTCTTCATCCACCTGACACATTCCTGAAGAGGCCGCAGCCCACTGCTGAGTCCAGCCGCTGTCTTTAGTCTGCGAGAGAAGAGCCCAGAACAGCAGCTGTAGCCGGACCAGCGTCTTAGTGTTCGATCGGCGAAATCCTCAGACTGTGGTCGTCCTGACGTGAAGCAGTACTGACAAAGTCCTGATCCGTTCCACGTCGCCACTGCTCTATGCTCTCTACTGTTTTCCAATAACAAACATGCGTTTATCGAACTGATGGCGCGGGTTGATGACGTACACATATCTGTGAGCCAATAAACAGCGCCCTGCTCTATACTGCCCCCACCAGGTGTGGCGCGTTGGTCTCGATTAGAAATGAACTCCGCTAGTATTAAAAAAGATAAATACCAGATGATACAGTATAATGACTGACTGTTGTAGAGCTCAGTTCTTCGTATCCAGTCAATCAAAAAATCTGAAATAAAATAGATAACAGCTATTTTAAACCATATAGCCAAATGACATTACAAAATAACTTTTATTCTTGCCATCCCTACTATTCATACCCATTTTCCTTCCCTTTATTCTTATAGTGGAGTCTTTGTGTGTGTGACCTCCTGTTTCTAAAAGAACTGATACTGTCTGTCTTCCTGCAATACCCAAATGTAAATTCATTGAGCCATGTTTGCTTCAATCATTCCTCTTGTCCACATTAGCCATGAAGCCACCCTTTAGTAACGCTGCAGCAGTGTCAGGCGATGGACAAAATCCAAAGTTCTTATTCTGTGCACTGATCCATTCCAGAGGTCAGCAGCAGCTAAATACAATGCTTAATACGCAGTATGCCAGTATGACATTTGCACACACTTTGGTCTGTGATTTCAAATCTTTTAGACAACATAATAAAAATTCCCCACAAGATGTTACATGGAGCTCAGGTGTTTTCTCCAGCTGTTCTGACCTATTGGCTCTGAGCTTGTTTGATACCTGCAGCATCAGAGATCAGTTAATTCTCACAATTAGAAATGATCCATGAGAAATCATGGAGAGCAGATCAGTCCAGACCAGGATCTGATGCAGGTCACACTGTGGTTGTAGAGGTCTTCACATCAGACAGCTGAGCTGTCATCAAATAGCAGTTTGGTTTCCAGCTGTTTAGGACTTATATATATATATATATATTAGTTTTTGTTGTTGTTGTTGTTTTCTGTAGTTTATTACAAACCTGACAGCAGTAAGATCCCTGACGTCTGTCTGTACTCATAGAATGCTGTCATGAAAACAGTTTGACGGACTGATGAAGGCAGCAGTGTTCCATGTCAGATGTCTGAACGTAACATGTGACTGAAGGCCCACTCCGGATTACTCCTCACAAGGAGTCCTACTCAAAAATATTTGAATAACGCCTTCTGTGGTTTTCGAAAGTTGGTAAACCTGCTGATGCAAGTTTTGCAGGTGTCCTCCAAACTTGATAGAGATGCAATCAATGCACAAACTGTATGCTATCTTACACAAGAAGAGAAAACTATATATATAACACTGATATATATATCAGTCGTGTGAATTTTCTTATAATAAATTGACACTAGTTCTCTCATGTTGGACGTAAAATTAAATCGTGCTGGTTTTTGTGTGTTTTTTAGTTCTGACTTCTGCCCTGGTTGGTTCGTTGGGCCTCTGAAGTGGCTTGTTGTGGGATTGCAGTTCCATTTAAATTGTTCGGGAAGTAGATGAAGTGTAGGACTTCAACCTCCAGAAAGCAGAGCGCTGAGGCTGGTTCTGGTTCTGGTCTCCACCCACAGCGCTGATCTGACAACCGCCTGGATGCTGCGTTTACGGTCCTCCGCTGCTTTATAGATCAGTCCTTTTATTCAGGTCATCATCGCTGCATCGTGCTGACACTCGCCAACGAACACCCAATGTTTACTTCTCCGGCATGTCTCCTGTACCCGGGAAGAAGTAATGCTTTTGTTTCTTGAAGATCATTTTCTGATAAGTCTGTTGAAAAGCCATGTTCGCACGACATAGATGCAGATTGCTGTACGGATAATGCATTAGCCAACAGCAGTTTGAACAGCTGGACCGCTTCCTTTGGGGCAGCGAGCTGTTGTCGACAATTGCAGGTCTTCTCCGGCTCCATGATGGCGATGTTTCGGAGCTTTGTCTCGGCGGGCACCCAGCTCCGCCAGCAGCAGCAGCAGCAGCAGCAGCAGCCGCTCGGCTCCGGCTCCGGCTCGTTGGCGGCTCCGGCGGAGGGCGTTGAGTGCCAGTTCTCCTGCCCCATCTGCCTGGAGGTCTACCACAAACCCGTCAGCATCGGCAGCTGCGGTCACACGTAAAGTAGCTGCTTGTTGTTGTGATGTGTGTTACGGTGCCATCGCCTCTTCCAGCTGCGGTGTTTCGTTACGGCAGACAGTCTGATGAACCGGGTTGTGCCTGTAACAGCTGGACTGAGGAGCCTCATGGAGCCTAGTCAGCATTTGAAACCTTCAACTTGGACACTGACCGATGTTCAGCCTCAGTAGTTAGAATAATAATGTGAAGTCTGAGAAAGCTTAGCACAGCTTGATTGTCAGGAGCTCTTTAAGCTCTTAATTGGAACCTTACTTGTAAAAATTACAGAATTCTGAATTTTGCACATTGAATTTGCCTCCAAGCTTAAACTAAACAGGTTTTGATATTTTTGTGTCTTAAAAACAGAATAATAATTATAATTAAGAATTAATAGTCAATCAGTTGCAAATCAATCAATCAGTCATTGATTTGACACAATGCAATTTAGACATTGGAAGGGCTGCAATTCAGGATGGATGTGAGGATGCAGGACACACAGCTGTCAACAAAGGTTTACATGCACGTACCAATGACTCATATAACTTTGAATATTCTATGATGGAATCACAGAAACCAATGTGTCTAATCACACACACACACACACACACACACACACACACACACACACACACACAAAAACAATAATGGATTTTGTTTCTTTCATAGGTTTACTGTAGGTCTTCTTAAAATATGAGCTCTTCTGTTGAGTCAAACATGCAGCAACTTGAATGATCAGTTTTGGTGATGTGGAAAGCTGTGTTAGTCAAATTGTCTTAGTGGCATGAACTGTTAGCGTCTCGTGAATGATTGCGATTGACGAGAGCTGCTGAGCCAATTTAAACAGAGTCCAATTAATACGCTCAAGATTCAAGAGTGTTTATTTGTCACATGGTCATACAGTATGTGCAGTGAAATGCAAAGTGACCGTTCTCAGGCTGTGCAGTAACAGTGAGATATTATAAAGGAACAAATCTTTAGAAAACAATAGAAAATTGTGTCACAATTAAAAAGGTAGAGATCTTAAGCTAAAGTGCAGTGTACACTGTGCAAGAGTGCAGGTGTGTGTGTGTTGTTTGTTATGAATCAGAGTGTGTGTGTGTGTGTGTGTGTGTGTGTGTGTGCATGTGTGGGCATAGACCTACATGCTATTTGCATATTTGCATTAGTTAAGTGTGCTGTAACACAGATGAGGTGCTATGGTGTAGATTTTGAGCGGCGCTCAGAGTTAACAGTCGTGACTACATGAAGAAAGAAGCTCTTCCTGAGCCTGTGTTTGCCTTGGTGTTCCTCAGGCACGTAAATGAAGTGATAGTGCACGGCAAGTATTAAGTGCTTGGTACGGCTGTGTTGCTCTCACAGTCAGGAAGAAAACACAAACTATCACCTGCTGCTGAGACACAGTTGGTCAGAATGGTCAATAGTCAACCAAGATTTACAATGCAATGAATGAAATGCTGCTGGAACACAGGTGTCAGTGTCCACAGTCAAGTGTGTGCAAGAAGGAAGCCCTTCTTCCAGAAATGCCACCTTCAGGCTCAACTGAAGTTTCGTGATGATCATATCAACAAACAAAAGGCCTTCAGGAGAAAAGTTCTGTGATCAAACAAAAAAAAAATCAATTTGGCCACAATGACCAGAAATATGTTTAGAGACGAGAAGGTGAGGTCTTTAACCCCAAGAACACTGAACCCACTGTCAAGCATGGTGGTGGCAGCATCATGCTCTGGGGCTGTTCTGCTGCCAGTGGAACTGGGGCTTTACACAAAGTAAATGGAATAATGAAGAAGGAGGATTACCTCCACATTGTTCAGGAAAACCATCATCAGCCAGAAAGTTATGTCCTGGGCGCAGTTGGGTGTTTCAACAAGACAGTGACCCCAAACACACATCAAAAATGGTGAAGAAATGGTTAAGTCAGGCTAGGATTAAGGTTTTAAGTCCTGACTTAAACCCCATCAAGAACCTGTGGACTGTGCTGAAGAGACAATTCTGTGTCAGGAAGCAACAATTTTATTTTAATGGTTTCAATTTTGTCAAGAAGGCTGAAAGGAACAAGCCACTTGCCAGAAGCTTGTGTACGACGACCTACTACTAGGTAAAATGGCCAGGGGACATTTAACCAAACCTGAGCTTTGCTGTATGTATATTTTCAGAAGACCTATAACAAACCTATTAAAGAACCAAAAAAGCTGCGTAGATTTCAATGATTCCGTCATAGAAAAACGGAATTATAGGAGTCACTGGAAAGTGAACACTGTCAGTATATAAAGTGTGTGTAAACTTTGGTGTAAACTTTTCTACTATAGCGTCAAATTTCAGTGTGCAAAAACCCTAATGAAAGTCGGGAATGGGCATTAAAAAAAATAAAAATAAAAAAAAGTCTGAAGTTTGATTTTTAAAAAAAAGAAAAAAGATAACTATAGCAAAAATTTCACAAATATCTTTAGAAATATCTATATGCTATTAAAAATTACAGTAAAATCAGAGGTAGTTGAGCAGATATTTTAAAAAATTGATGATTCAAGATGGAGTTTGTTAATGTACTGACATTTTTCAAAAAGCAGGATATAAAAGCAAATATATGTGTCTTATTTTATGTTAAGTCCATATTTATTGTTTTAATGAAGCAAGAACTTTCACATACTACTGCATGCAGCAGCACAATGGCATTATACAACTTTGAACAGAGATAATCATATCACACGCTTGTATTACATTTATTTCACTTACATATCACATTGTGTCGATTAAATAAGGTCAAAGTGAGATCTGAAATAACACTGTGTCTTGTTCTGGCTAGCTGACGTATGTTTGCTTGTGACAGCTTGGCTCAAACACAGATTTGGTGTCATGTGGGGTCAAAGTTGCAATCCACCTCAGGCTTGCTAATGAGTTCCAGTGAGCATATTGAGAAGCTTTTCACTGCTAGGTGACATCATGTGACACAAAGGTAGTGTCTGACTGGAGCATTTCCTGTCTCCACAGTGCACATGGAGAAAACAAGGCCAATATTCATCCAAATAAATAAAACGAAGGGTCTGTCAGTCACTACACAGATTAAATATCAGTTTAGTCACTTTGCATCTTGGAAGACGCAAATGTAAAAAAAAGTATTGAAGCACATCATGCTATAGTAGCTAAAGCACTTTCAGCAGAAAGCTGGAAGCATGTTCCCTTGCTATGAATGATACCCTGTGTTCTAACTTGCTCATGCAGGGATTTACACCTGAATGACGGGTTACTGTTGAGGAACTTAAGATCATTTTAAAGCATTGTGGAGATAATATTCTCATATATATGGGAAAACTAATTGTAATTTTGGAATTGATAGTGTGTATTATTAAACTTTTATCTTTTACCATCACAGTCTTCTTGTTTCACATCTAAGGAAATTAGAGAGAAGCTAGGCAGGGTGTTATACGTCTAATCTTTCTCAGATTGGATCTGAAAAGAAGTACAAAGAGCAGACCAGACCTCAGGTAGCCTCATTTCTATTTCTAGTTAAAGGGAAAATGCAGCTATTTTTACTCCGCTGCAGCTGATGGGGATGGATGAAACTTCAGGAAGTGCTGTCACTAATCTCTCTGGCTTGCACATAGACACACCACTGTACATGGGATTCACTTCTTCACTGTTGTTTAATATAATTGTGACACCGAGTGCAGAAAGTTAGGGGTTTCATCTGCCAAATATTTCTTGCTTTCTGCCAAGAACGGATACTTTTCACTCGCACAGCCCAAGTGATCCTTACAGAGAGACAGGTTATGAGTGCTGGGATGGATATTGTGACATTTAGTCACCTGAACAAATTTGGATGAATTCGGCATCTATAGTGCAGTGTTCTGATTTCTGCAATGAGGAGTCATTGCACAGATCATAGGTACTTTGCTATAAAACAGGCAACATATACTGCATTATGGCAAGACAGTTGATACCTACATCATAAATGAAAGCTATGTGTAGGTTATATGATTTAACTAATTTATTTCCCTGAGGCACTCTACCAAAGGGATCAATAAAGTTCTATCTAATCCAGTCTAATCTAACTGTATAGCATAGCCCATCTTTTTGTACCAAAATGCTAATTCCATTAAACTGTCAGACATTTGCAAGAAAATCAATGGCCATTTTAACAATTTAATGATAAAAAAAGAAAGAAAACCCTCAAGATTAAGATACATTCTTTGTATCCTGGGAAAATTAGTCTTGGGCTCAGAGTTACTGCTGCGCAGAATCCTACATATCAGCACAACTGCTACAACAGCTTGAGTTTCATACAATCAAGAAATCAACTTAAAAGCAGACACATATGCATACAAATATAACAAAAAAAACTGATAAGCAGCTTTTGTGGAGCTAAACAATAGAGCAATAAAACACCACAACTTTTAAAAACAGTAAAAATACAATTAAAAGGCCAGTAGAATGATAAATATTCAGAGCAATAAAAGCCCAGTAAAACCACAATATTGTACATTCTGATGTCCATATTTTTGTATTAACGAATGCATTGTGACAGTCAGTTCCCGCTCGTATTTTCTTCTGCTCAAGACCTCGAGTTAGGCCGTAACAAAGGGCTTTAGTGGCCACTTTGGGACTCTAAGACATCAGCCGGAAGATAAAGCTGATATTCAGAGTGAGGATGTGAGTTGGATCATTTAGTAAAATTACTAGATTTTTATTTTTTACTGAAAATTTCAATAGCTTTTCCAATGATACTCTGTTCCAATGTTTTGAAAACTGAGTGCCGTTTTTTGTTTTTTTTTTTGATTTTTTGGCTTTTGGTCAGACTGTCAAAACAATTTTACTGCATCAGTATAGGTTAACTCAGTTAACTTGATTAATTATCACAGGAACACAAGTGTTATTAAATTACACAGGAAATAACCTAATTGTAAAAGAAATCTCTGTCTGGTTTGAACAAGAACTTCAACTTTTCTTCGTTGCTGTGTGTTTTGCTGTCCCAGGTTCTGTGGGGAGTGTCTACAGCCATGTCTTCAGGTAACGTCGCCCCTCTGCCCTCTCTGTCGTGTACCCTTTGACCCCAAGAAAGTGGAGCGTTCCTCCAGTGTGGAGAAGCAGCTGTCCTCATACAAAGCACCCTGCAGGGGCTGTAGCAAAAAGGTACATATTGACTATTCATTAACAATTGAAAAACAGGACTGCAGAAGTCGTGCTTGATATTACATGGTTCAGACAACTATGGAAACAACCAAGGCACTCTGACTGGAGGTGAAATAATTTTTTCTTTGAGCATATAGGAAAACAAACAGACCAGCGTGTATTGACTATAGATATTCATCACGGTCTGACAACCACATTATTAGTTTGCATTATATACCAGCCATATGTGGCCTTCTGTCCAGCACAAGGGGCCTGGTACATAACCCACAAAGGGAGCTAAAACATAAGTACGGCCAAAAACAATGGAAATCTCAAACAAAAAAATTACATTAATTGATAATATGTCAGACTCTGAAAGAGATCTCCCAACAACTCATAAAAACTAATGTTCAATAACATGAAAAAATGGCCCATGCCACAAATGATATGAAACTAGCTTTACATAATGATCAATAACTTCAATTAGCTTTAATGAAGAAATAAAGATACAGAAGATAATCAGGCAATGGGTTTGCTCATATGTGCAAAGTAAGTGCTTTTACAGCAACAACAGGCTTCTTTGTAAACAATTTGCAAACCATGATAGAAAGCCATAGAGACAACTCTCAATTATGGATTCATGTTTATTATTTGTTACATATTAAGTAGTCTTTCCCCCAACACAACACCCCACCCCAACCCTGCAAGTGGGGCTGTGATTCTTCCATAATCACTATTATTGTGTGTTTGTGTGTCTTTTCTCAGGTGGCTCTGGTAAAGATGAGGTCCCACATTGCTTCCTGTTCCAAAGTACAAGAGCAGATTGCCAACTGTCCTAAGTTTGTCCCTGTGGTGCCCACCTCCCAACCCATTCCAAGGTACACACACTCTAACCACTTCCATACTTAGCTGACTACATCTGAAAATGCAGTTTACATTTATCCTGGTGTAATAAGGGATTTCAGAAAAATGCCTAAAAACTATCAGCACCTCACTGGAGCTGAAAATTGTAAAAAAATAAATAAATAAAATCATGAATTGTGTGAGATAAAGATTCTAATCTGAATTACCAATACAGTAGCTCGTATCAGTTTACATAAATCTCAGCGCCAGGTTATGACAGCTTCAAGTGGTTCAAAAAAGCCTCAATTGGAAAAAAAAACACAATCTGGCCTTTCTATTACCCAAGAACCTGTATAGATTCCATTCTGTGTACATTTTGACTCCCCTTATTAGAGAGAAATTCATTGCAACCCTGTGACCCCCACTGCGTGTATGTCTACATGTGTATGTATTTTCTTTTTCCTTCGATATGCAGCAATATTCCAAACCGGTCCACATTTGTGTGTCCGTTCTGTGGGGCCAGAAACCTGGACCAGCAGGAACTTGTTAAACACTGTATGGACAACCATCGTAATGACCCTAATAAAGTGGTGAGAGAGCACTCACGACTACACTACACTACCACTACACTACAACATACACCACAATACACCAAATCACTAGATCACGTTATTTTGACTATTTAAGGTCATCTTGAATCACCAGAATTGCTTCCAATCTGTCTTGAAAACAGCTAAGGAAACGTTTTAGGAAACCCTAGATACCGTTTGAGGTTCTCAGCAACCTGTAACGTAAGGTTTTTGACCACAGTTATAAAACTCATCTAATTTAAGGTAAAGAGGGACTGTTTTGGTGTTTGAAGTGGTGGATCATGTGTTTGCAGCAGCCGCAGTTTGAATCAAACTGTGGACAATAATTGTATTTTATTGTCTTTCTGTTCTTACATATGGACTGCTTTCTGCCACTAAGTCCAGTCCCCACAAGTCCATCCATCCATTATCTATACACCACTTAATCCCCACTAGGGTCGCGGGGGGGCTGGAGCCTATCCCAACTGATTTAGGGCGAAGGCAGGGGACAC